GGGATTCAGGTGCATGAAGAAAACAATTCACGCCGCAAATGGCTAAATGTAAGGCTTTTCCTTCGACACAGTGTTTCCAAAGATGACAGCCATCTTGGTCAAAACAATGACCACAGTCTTCCATCCCGATATTAGCCAATCAGGGCATTTCCCCCTAGGTATCTATGCGTAGGCGCCTCTTTTGGAAAGGCTCTGCAATGAGGAATACTGGCCGTTCAATTGTGACCACTTAATGAAGGGATTAGTATCCTGAAGAGATTGAAAGGTTGAGACTCTGGTTTGCCCTCCGGAAGTTGTAGAGCCATAGGGCAGAACTCGATTGTAAATGCATGGGAACCCATCTATCATCTATCGTTTACACATATCCCCGATGTCTATCTTCTACGTCATCTCCTCCGAAACCTCCACCGCCAGGCGTGTTCACTTGCACATACTCTCCCACCCCTAAGTTCACAATCGCCTTGCCACCCAAGTTAATCCTCTCCATCTCACCACCATCTTCACCCTTCAAGAACGCAAAGTTCTCACCCCTCATACCTGGCCCGCCGCCACCCATGCCGTACGGTCTATACACCCGGCGGTCACTCAAAATGCTGAACTTCAAGGGCACCCGCGCTTCCACCTCCCTCGTAATTCCATCTCCGCCCTTCCACGTTCCATTACCACCACTGCCCCTTCGGATCTCGTACTTACGTACCAGAACCGCTGTCCGCTTCTCAACCACCTCAGCATCCGTCTGTTTTGTGTTCGTAGAATGCACATGTGTCGAATGCTCCCCCTCGTACCCATCTCCAGCACCTACACCTCCACCAATACTCTCGCCGTAGTTCCACCCCTTGGTAACAACCCCCGTGGCAGGGTCCCTCCCGCCCATGCCCCAGCCGAAGCTATTCGCGCAGCCCTGCGACGCAGCGCACCGCCCGAACGCGCGCAAGATCACGTCAATGACGCGCTGCGAGGCGAGTGTGCTTCCGCAGATAGCCGCGCGCGGGCCCGGGTTAAGCACCGAGCCCGGCGGGACGCGGATCTCCACGGGGGCGAGACATCCCTCGTTCAGGGGTATGTCGACGTCCACCAGGCAGCGGACGGTGTAGATGATGGCTGAGTGGCAGATGGAGATGGGGCAGTTGTAATTCCCCCACATCTGCGGACCACTACCTTCAAAATCGTACACAGCAGAGCCCGTGTCGGGGTCGATGCTGATCTTGACGCGCATAGGCGTGCCGTCATCCAAATAATCCGTCGCCTCCAGTGGACGCCCTCCGTTCCGCGCCGCGACGGCTTTGAAGAAAGACCGCACGGCGAGTTCAGCGTTATTCTGGATCGCGCCCATGTATTTGTGCACCACGGGCAGCGAGGCCTCGGCGCAGAGCTTGCGGAGGAGGGTGATGCCGCGCTGGTTGGCGGAGGTTTGCGCCTTGAGGTCGGAGATGTTGTCGGCCAGCCGGCGCGAGGTGGAGCACCCCGGGAAGGAACCCGCGCGCTCGAAGGCCTCGCGGACATCGGTCTCGAGGAAGGTGCCGGCGGCGACGATCTTGAGGGAGGGCACGTTGAGGCCCTCCTCCCAGAGCTCGCGCGACTCGGGCATCATGGAGGTGATGCCCTTGCCGCCGATGTCGGTGTGGTGGCCTCTGCTGGCGACGTAGAAGGCGATTTCTTCCTTGCCGGTGGCGGGGGAGGGGATGAATACGGGGGTGACGACGGTGAGGTCGGGAAGGTGGGTGCCGCCCCATTGGGGGTGGTTCGTGAGGAGGACGTCACCGGGGGAGAGTTTGCCGGCCCAGAGGCGGTGTTGGGCTTGGATTGCGAACTGCATGGAGCCGAGGTGGATGGGGATGTGAGGGGCGTTGGCGACGAGTTTGCCGGAGGGGGAGAAGATTGCGCAGGAGAAGTCGAGGCGTTCTTTGATGGAGGTGGAGATGGAGGTGCGCTGGAGGGTTGTGCCCATTTGTTCGGCGATGGCCATGAAGCGGTGGGCGAAGACGGAGAGCTGGATCGGGTCGACTGTCGAAGACGAGGGGTCTTGGAGGGATGAGGCGAGAGGGCTGGTGAGGGTTTGTTTCTGGAGGAGGACGTGGGATGTGAGAATATGCGCGGTAAAGGTTGGAGACACAAAGATTGTCTGGGTCTGGTCGATGATGAGGGCTGGTCCGGGGATGGCGGTGGACTTGGGAATCTGGGGGAGGTGGTAGATGTTGGTGGCATGCCAGGCACCGTCGACGTAGACCTGCTGCGTCTCTTGCGGCTCAGGAGGTGCGATAGGAGTAGTAGAGGAAAGCTCCTTGAGGGCGGAAGATTCCTGCGCCTGGGACCCCGCGCTACCTGTTCCGCGGACCTTTACAGACTCGATGACGATGTCCCGCTTCATCGAGAAAGCGAACTCGCGGAGGTGGGTTGCCTCAAACTTGGCAGCGTAGTCGCCGTCCTCGGGCTTGGAGATTGTGAGGTTCGTGTCGGTGCCGAAGTAGCGCAGAACGAGACTCTCATCAAAGACCAAGGAGTCTGCATCAGCGCCCTGGGAAAGAAGTTCCCCTGACACCTTAGCCTTGAGCACCGCCAGACGGTCCGTGACGTGAGCTTCCGCAGAGGCATCGAGCTTGCTGCCGTACGGCTCAAGCGCTTCGTGCTGCAGCTCCGCCTGCGCGATACCGTACGCCGATAACAGGGACGAGAACTTGTGGATGAGTATGCGGCGGATGCCTAGACGGTCGGCAATATCGCAGGCGTGCTGACCGCCGGCACCGCCGAAGGAGACGAGGTGATGGTTCTCGGGCGCGAAGCCGCGGGCCTCGGTAGCGTTGCGGATCGGGCGGGACATTGTCTCGTTTGCGACGTTGAGGAAGCCGAGGGCGACGTCATGCGGCGTCAGGGACTGGTTCGTCTGAGCGTTGAAGTCGGCGGTGATGGTGGCAAACTTCTCCGCCACGACGGCGGCGTCCAGGGGCTCATCCGCATTGGCGCCGAAGATGGAGGGGAAGGAGGACAGCACAAGGCGGCCGAGGAAAAGGTTCGCGTCAGTGACAGTCAGGGGCCCGTCCTTGCGGTAGCAAGCAGGGCCGGGGTGTGCGCCGGCAGATTCAGGACCGACGGCGAGGAGGCCGTTGCGGGCGAACAGGATGGAACCGCCGCCTGCCGCTACCGTGGCGATGTTGAGCATGGGTACAGTGATTGTGCGGCCGGCGATGGAGGTCTCGGTGAGGTAGTCGTAACGGCCGTCGTAGCGGGAGACGTCGGTGCTGGTGCCGCCCATGTCGAAGCCGATGACAGGGGTGCCGTCGGCTGGGTCGTAGCAAGACCGGGCAATACCCACGACGCCGCCTGCGGGTCCGGAGAGGAGAGCTTCGTTCCCGCGGAATCGGGTGGCTGCCTTGAGGCCGCCGTCGGAGCACATGAAGTCGACGCGCTGCGGGGGGATGCGGAAACCCGAGGTGAAGGAGGAGACGTAGCGCTGGATAACGGGATAGAGGTAGGCCTCGGAGCAGGTGGAGGTGCTGCGGTTGAGGAACTTGATAGTCGGTGATGTCTGGGCAGAGGTTGTCACGAAGGCGAAGCCGAGGGAGCGGGCGAGGTCTGCGACGAGATCTTCGTGGGCCGGGTAGAGGTAGGCGTGCATGAAGCAGATCGCAAGGTTGTTGTAGCCCTGCTCGCGGAGAGCGAGGAGTTGAGGGCGAACAGCGTCGAGGTCGGGGGCGCGGAGAACGCGGACGAACTCGCCGCTCGGCGTGCGAATGAGGCCATCTTGAGATGCCAGTGCGTCTTTGGAGAAGGGCTCCGGGTTGAGATCGTAGTCTGCGGGGACGATGCGCTCGTCGACCTCGACAACGGCCTCGTGGAGGGCTTTGGGTTTGCGGATGTTGAGGTCAAAGAGCTTGGGGCGAGACTGGTCGCCGATCACGCAGACATCTTTGAAGCCTTTTGTGGTGAGGAAGGCGAAGCGCTCGCCCTTGTGCTCCAGAAGGGCATTTGTGGCTACCGTTGTGCCGATGCGGCAGGATGCTGGTGAGTTTGGTTAGTGAGGGCATTCGGAAGAGGGTGATTTCAGGGGTCGAGGTGAGGGATTACCAATGCGGGAGCCGTCGAGTTTCTCACCGACGGGGATGGTTTTGTTCTCGACAATTGAGAGGATGCGGCGGATCGCTTCTGTTGGTGCATCTGGGTAGTTTGCGGGGTCTTCGGAGAGGAGTTTGAAGATGATGGGATCGCGGCCGTCAATGTCTGCGATAACGTCGCAGAAGGTGCCGCCGCGGTCGATGGCGACCCGGATGTCGGCCGTCATTCTGAGGCTCAGCTCACTGAGGGTGATGAATTTTCAGTGAGTCTTTGGTGTGTTTGTGGTCTCAGCGCGTGAGTTGGGGTGAGACTTGGCGCTGTTCAGTGAACTGAAACTGAGATCACGAAAACCACTGAAGGAAAACACACCCCGGTGAGTCAAACCCCTTGGCAAAGTGAAGGTATTATGCATATATAACACAATCTCACCGACGCATACACCGTCAAGCATTGCCCTGCGGTAATTGATGCCGACGGTTGACGGCCGCTTTGCGCTGTGAAAGACCCACGGAGGCACTCGTCGGGGCTTCGTCGGGCGGCGTAATTACGTGCTGGCGGGCGGTCCCCGATGCTGTGGATCCAGTCGGCGCCTCTCCGATGTTAGCATCCTTGGCGGGAAAAGCTCTTATCGCCGTCGTCGGCCCTCTGGCGACTCCCGGAACTGGCTAGAATGAGTTTCTCACAAAAGTTGTCAGACTGAGTGTCAGGCAATTGCGCAATTGATCCTGCAGAAGACGGGGTCGCGAAGTCCTCCCCGGATCTTCCAGCCGACAGTTGACCCCGGACGCTGCTTGCTGCGCATGAACAGACTCAGAGTGATAGCCTGTGGGCTGTGACGGAATCTGTGATCTGTATTCTGAAATCTGTTGACATACTGTGGACCTGGCTTAACGTCGGGATTCCGTTTACACCCTTACATCGCCCCGTTGAGTTTCCCTGCTGTTCTACAATCACAACTTCTCTTCATCTTTAAGCTCATGAATCAACACGCGAGGTCCCTTCGGGATGATGAGCGGCCCCTGGATACCCAAAACCCTAGCTCTCGCATTACCATATCCCTCCTTGTATCTCGAAATCCAGGTGTCCGTGGTATTGAAGAATGCACCATGAGTCCTCTCGCTCTGGTCCCAGTACAGCCTCCTGTACCAAAGATGCAGGTTGGGATAATCGTTCCGAATGGTGGCCAGATTACACTGGAAGATGGGCACATAGGCGACATCAAACCTCGCAATCGTGGGAAACAGTCGTACATCAGCCTCTGTGATGTGATCGCCCAGCAAGAATGGCCGGTTCTGTAGGATGCTCTCCAATCGATCCAACGACTGGAACAAGTGGTCGACGTTATCCTCGTACGCTGCCTGCGTGAACGCAAAGCCGCACTTGTAAACACCGTTGTTGACGGTGTGATACACCCACTCATTGATCTCATCGATCTCCTTCTGCAGCTTCTGAGGGTACAGCCCGCCGCCGGGTCTGCTGTCTTCACGGTCCGCCTCAGGAAGGAGATGGTCAAACTCGGTGTACAGCATACGGATAATCTCGCTCGACTCGTTGCTGACCAGCGTGTGCGCCTTCTTGTCCCAAAGCACGGGCACCGTCACACGGCCCTCATACCCGGGACTAGCCTTGAGGTAGAGCTCCTTGATGGTTTTGAAACCGTACACGGGATCCTCGGGGAGAACACCGTACTTGGCGGCCTCGGGACTATCGGTGAAATGCCAGCCCTCTTTGCCCATACCCATATCGGCGATGTACAGGTCGACGTAGTCCTCCAGACGCTTGAGAGCCCGGACTATCATGACTCTGTGGCACTGAGAGGGGGTCAGCGCATGGCTGTCTGCGGTAAGAGATGACTTACCCATGGGCACCCCGGGCTGACGTAGAGCGCATACCGACCCTTTTCAGCGGGAAACTTGGAGTTTGGGTCTTTGCTGATGAAGTTGCGGAATTGAGCTTCAGTACGCTCGAAACCACCGCCTTTTCCGGGCTGGTATCTGATTGGATCTTTCTGTTGGATTGTTAGCCAATCGCGCGTTGAGAACTGAAGTCGGTATGCGTGCCTCTTCGCCCATCTCGATGGTGGATTCGCGATGGTATCTGTTTCTGTTTCTGCCTTGCTCCGAGGAAAACGCGAAAGTTTACGGGGTCCCGTGGGTTCAAGTAAAATAATGAAACAACGATTCAAACTATGCCAGTTATGAAGTTGAGCTTCAGAGACCGGTAGGATACTCAATTAGTTATAAAGCGCTGGAGAGGGGAAATACGGTGCAGCTGCAACAGGCATGCCAGAAGTCACAGCGCAGCTGTTGCAGCATTTAGTGACGTAAACTCCGTGGAAGGACGACTTCCCCGCATTTCCCGCGCGGCTCGGAAACCCGAGCGTCGCGTAGCGCGCGGGATAGCGAAGTCTGTTTACGGTTTGTCACCCTCCCACACGATTATCAGATGGATATTTGTCAGCTCCGTAATGAATGTACCGACAAATTGTCGAGTATGACCTGATCTGCGTCCGGCCGATTCTTGACCGCTCGGCATGCTACAATCGACGGCTTCTCGTCCTCGTACCGGTCATGGCGCCATCCGGCCCGGCATGCCAAGGATCCACAACTACTCAGAGGGTTGTCATCGCTGAGAACGTCGCTGTCAGCGCTCAAGTGATTGTCCTACATCACTTCAGATATATGCACTTTCTCCTCTTCACTGGATAACTGTTAAAGGTTGTATTTCCCTAATTGGACCTATTTGCCTTCTCTCAGATTAGATACGCAGGGGTTCCTTAGCATCTACAGGACCTTCGCTTCGATTTTCGAACGTTTCCCGGTCTGTGGTACTAGGCTTTTATATAAAAATTGGACATGTCGGCTGAGATATGTTCCTGCTCATGGCTCGTTGCTACTGAGATGCTACAGAGAGTAGCATTGACTAGCCACTGCCTAACCCGAAGCTTCACGACTTCTAGTTGGCCCAACCTTGTTTCATATAATCAAGTGGCCTAGCATATCGGACAGGCCCTCAGTTGTGTTGACCACAGTTTCTTGCCCTCGCTTGCTACTCTTCTTCTTCTTTTTCTTTTTCCTCCTCCCAGTTGTGATCTGTGCAAGCAACTGAATGATCTCCTCATTCCCTGCTTGCTCTGCCAACTTGACGGCAGTTATGCCTTCGTCGTATCCACCAACAGCTGCGACATGTGCCCCATATTCTAGAAGCAGACGTACGTACTTGACTGAGCCTCTCGTAATAGAGTAATGCAACGGATTAAAAGCTGGGTAACTGCCTAGCCCATTGGGATCTGCCCCTCTCCGTAAAAGCAGTAGCACAACGTCCTCAAAGTCTCTTTCCAGAGCAAGGCGAAGAGCTGTTTTTCCAGAACGACGGTGAGAGGCCTTAGCATTTGGGTCTGCACCAAATCTGATGAGTTCTCCCGCGATCTCTGGCTTAGATTCGACAAGAGATTCTATGAGAAGGCTGTGATTGTGCATGCCGGAGGCGTAAAGCAAAATATCCGGGTCTACCCCCTCGCTCAGCAGGAGCCTGGTATGGTCCAGGTGTCCACTTCTAACAGCAAGCCGCAGCGCATGCCGACTGGACGCGTCATGAGACTGCGGCAGGACTGACCCAGCATTGATAAGGCTCGTCAGCATACCTTCGGTTTTGACGTTCCAATCCAGAAGCCTTCTCATGAATATCTGAAGGGTATTTCCCAAGCCCGGAATAGTTGCACTTGCGTCGGCTCCCTTTTCTAGGAGGTAATCCATTGTTTCTGGGTGCTCGCGCACGCACGCAATTGTCAGGGCATTTCCGTAAGGACCCCCCTGGCTGTTGATATCCGCGCCTCTTTCCACCAGGACCTCAACGACGCTTTGGAACCCTTCCGAAGCAGCTGCATAAAGAGCATTCCCGAAGATTCCACCCTGAGCATTGACATCTGCGCCATTGTCTAGTAAAAGCTTGACCATCCTTCTGTGGCCTGCTTTAGCGGCAGCCTGTAGGGCGTAGCCATAAGTGCCACCCCGAGCATTAATGTTTGCTCCTTTTTCTAGCAAAAGTTTGACCATTTTTCGGTGACCTGCTTTAGCAGCAGCCTGGAGAGCATTCCCATTAAGGCCGCTTTTAGCATTGGCATTGACGCCTTTGTCCACGAGAAGCCTGATGATCCTCTTGTGGCCAGCTTTAGCGGCAGCCTGTAGGGCGTCGCAGGCATAGGTGCCATCCTTAGCACTAAGATCTGCTCCTTTTGCTATTAAAAGCTTGACGATATTCCCGTGACCTTCTTTAGCAGCAGCCTGGAGAGCATCTCCATAAAGGCCACCCTTAACATTGATGTTTACGCCCTCATCTCAAAGAAGCCTAACCATCTTCGTATGGCCCATTTTAGCGGCAGCCTGCAGGGAGGAGCTGTAATTCATCGCATCAACACCTATTCCCCTCGTCAGCAGGAGCTTGACGATGTCTCTCTGTTGTGAAATAACAGCTATTCGGAGGGCATTTCCATAACTGGGATCGCGTGGGGCGAATTGATTTGCCACTTTGTCGAGTAAAAGCTCAACAATATTCCCGTGGCCTCCCCTAACAGCTGCCTGGAGAGCGTTGCCATGAGCATTGTTGTTGAAGGCGAATTGATTTTCCACTTTGTCGAGCAAAAGCTCAACAATATCCCCGTGGCCTCCCCTGACAGCTGCCTGGAGAGCGTTACCAGGAGCATTATTGCTGAGGGCATTTGTATCCGCACTGTTATGCAGAAGGAGTTCCAGCGTTCCTTCGTGGCCTTCCTCGGCGGCAGCTTGAAGGGCGTACCTAATGGCTTGACCCCTAGCCTTCATATTGGATCCATGCTTCAAAAGTATTGCAACCTTCTTGGTATGTCCTAACCAGGATGCGGTCTGTAGAGCGAATCCAAAATCGCCGCAATTTGCATCAAAGTCGACTCCCTCGTCGAGTAGTAGTTGCACGAGACTTTCGTCCATGTTTTCGATGGCGATCTGAAGAGGACTTAGTCTCCTGTGATCGTTTCCTTCTGGTCTGTTGAGCACTGCTCCCTTCTTTGCAAGAAGCTTCGTGATATCTCGATGGCCCTTCTGACAAGATATGCGCAAGGCGCTTCCGTGGTTTGAGATGCCAGTGCCGGTAGTGTCAGGACTGGCTCCAGCATCCAATAGAACTCGCAAAGTATGAAGTCGATTCATGAATGTCGCAATTTCGACGGGCTTCATAGCTTTAGTCTCGTTTTCTGGGCCATTGACATTGGCGCCGCGCGCGATCAAAACCTTGGTTGTCTTTCCAAGGCCAAGGAAACATGCAAAATGCAAACAACTCCTTGTTAAATCGTTGAAATATCCCGTGAGAAATTGTTTACTTCTGGGAACCAGCCAACGGTGCTTAACTTCAAGTTCCAGTTCCAAGTGGTCAACTATTGCACTGACAGCTTCTGGTGATAGTTCCGCAGCAGCAGCTTGTTCAGTCCATGTACTCACTGCGAGCGACGCAAAGGGAAACGACTGTGGTCGCGGGCTGATGGACGCCGAGTCATGGGTGACCATCCATTCCAGTTCGGCGGGGCCCATCCATTTTTCACTGACCAGCCATTTTTCATTGACCATCCATTGGTCATTGCCCATCCACGCTTTGATATCTGTCCCTTTGTTGAATGGCCCTTCTGAAATAACCCCGAGGAGGTATGATAGACACGTCCGAACGATAGATACACAGGCGTCTAGGCCAGTGAATGTGAGTTCAGGGGCATCATACTGAATCAGATATTCTTTGACAGATAAATGAGCTAAATGAAGCTCATGTTGCTTATTCGGCTGAGACCCATCGAATGTATTGGAACTTTTAACTTCCACGATTGATAAAAGGTTGGGGCATAGTCGAGTAATGTCGTCGGGGCATATTCGGTCGATAGAACTGAATCTTCGGAAATCGGAGCGCACTGATACAATGTCGACAGCTGCCGATAGTGCCAGTGGCTGGTCCAGATTAACAAGAAACTGGAGAACGCGGATTGCCTTTGTATAATATCTTGGCGGTATTCTTTCGATGCTTCGTTTATATGTTTCTTGGATGGTCTCCGGTAAAGAATCCAGAACGTACTCGATATCTTCAGGACCAAGACAGTTGACCAGGTCATTGATCTGGCAGGCTGCATATCGGAACCTATGGACTTGTGAGTCTTTTCTTCATACAACGATCCAGTATTCGTAAACTCACATTCCATCGGCCTTTTCAATCAGTCTGTCAGGAATTTGTTTCACCATGGGATGTTCTGGTGCTCGGGTGTGAAATCCCGGTCTCTCCCTTAAACATCCTTTAATGTAGACCTCGATATCAGCCTTCACTGAATCCTTATCGAGTTCAACACCTTTCGCATCTACTAATTCTGGGCCTAGCCAGGCTTTGAAATCAGCTTCCGGCCTTGCGGTGATGATAATCTTGACACGTTTGAGATTAGGTGCAGAGCCAATCCCAAGTATCCATTCAATCAGTTTATGCTTTTCTTTGCATTCATCTAGCGCATCCATGAGAATGACAGTATCTCCAAGCGTTGCAAGGACATCTTGAAAGCACTGCACAATGTTGGCAGTGCTTGGGGACCTTTTGCCATCCTCGTGAGACTTTCGTAGAGCTTCGACTTTCTTGGTGCTGCCATCTGCTCCTGCATACAGCTGAAAAAGTAGAGAGCGTACCAAGCCATCCAAAGTGCGCTTCTGAGAATCACTGAAGTCGAAAAAGAAGTACAATACCGCTCCACGTCGACTTTCTCTGAGAAATTCAAGGATAGTGGAACTGAGGACTGTTTTACCACAGCCACTAGCCCCATAGAGACAGATATGTCGGTAGTGACCTTTGCGCCAGTCTTCGAATGCGGGAGAATTTAGAAACCACGTGCCCGTTTCCCCATACCTTAGATCCTTGGCATGGTTTGCGTTGTCTGACGGGTCGGCAGGCCGAAGCCATTCTTTGACACTCTTTACACGGTGTTGAGATTTTATACCATCAACTGTGTTTCTAGTATCATTCAAAATCTTGTGCTGTTCTCTCTGTATAGTGACCACTGTATAAATTAGTTGTTAGACAAAATCAACTCTCTGGGGCTGGTGTAAAGCACACGAACCAGAACCAATGAGTTCCGACAGCTTCGTTTCTCCTCCAACCGCAACAAGATTAATAGACTCTATCAGATCTTTCGCGTAAGCTGCTGCCACCATCGATGCATAAGGCTGCCAGATTGAATTCTTGTGGGTGTCGGCATAGTCGCATATGCCTCGAACAACCAGGCATGGAAAGTGATTCATGAGGCCTGCTGCTTCCATCTCAAAACAGAGGACTCCTCGCCGAGTCAACTTGTCGCGCTGGGAGGCGTCCTTCATGACTTGATTGGATGATGCAATCAGGCCATAGTGAACACTTGGGATGTCGTCGTCGTCGCTACGCGGGGGCCTATGCACCAAGTCCTCTGATCTAACACCGCATACGGCGGCACATTCGCCGGTTACCCCTTCAGGATGTGTGAACTCTGACCGATAAAGCCTGTCGGTGTCATCCGATGGACGAGAGTATTTCTTTTTGAAAGCCTTTCGTTGCTTCTCCAGCGCGCGGTTGACCTTACTATTCAGTTGAGGACCTTCAATATCGTATTGCGCGTCAAGTGCAGCCGCTGCTGTCAACAAGGAAGTAGGTGGTCGATTGAGATGGCCCGTTTCCTTGAAGTCTTGACCCTGTATCGTCTTTCCGTAATCGAACTGAATGACACCACCAGTGCCTTGATCACGGCTGCTGACTACAACGTCGCCCAGTCGGATATCGTGCTCTTGGCTTGGAGCCCCTCCACCAACACCAACCATCAGGCCAAGTCGTACTTGTGGGAAGCTGCGCACCATGTCCTTGGCTGTCGTAGCAGCAGTGGTAGTACCATACTCATTCTGAGGCATGACGGCAATAACAACATTATGCTTCCCTATTCTGCCCACGACATAGCTGTTACTATCCGAGATTTCGCTCGGTACTTCATGCCGCTCGTCAAGGAAGGACTGCGCTGCGGCAGACTCCACGGGCAAAGCGCATATCCAGCCAACCGTGTAGGCAGTACGGTCCAAGACTTTGGTTGACATCGCTCTTCGTGAGTCAAACCATTGACAGACAACTAGCGCATCGGCCTGGGCCGAAAGAAGAGGTGCAACGGGACGTCGGTCAATGTCAGCCTGACAGGCTCGAAATACGGGCACGAATCACCGCGGCTGGTTCATCGTGTGAGACTATTGTTGAAAGAAGTCGAATGAGTAACGGGTTTGCAACGGAAGAGCGGGGTAGTAAATCTTGCGTGGTGTCGGGTCCTCTCAGGATCTGACTGCATGAGATAGCCCTGCTTACTGATTGCCTCATTAGCTCGCTATGCACGCATGCCAAGATAGCGGGCTGAGGTAGATTTGGTTGGTGAATCATTAAGCGTTCGCAATCATCACATCGTGGGTCCCACCATTGGCCGCGAGTGACGATTCGGGATGGTCAAACATGGTGCCTCGGAAAATTATTGAATGCCATTTCTTTTTCTCTATGCTAAATCTTCTTTCTCTCAGGAGAGCACTCGGGAGAGTTCTCTGGAAGACCTTTTCTTCTACAATCCGCACGCAACCGCGACTAATCTAGACGTTGTCTATGCGTAAACCTCGTCGCAGCTGAACCAAACGTTCTGGTATTGCTGGCATCCCGACCCAGTTGGGCCGCTGATCTGCTTCCAGTATCCACAACGTCCATTGTCTCCTCTGTCCCAGGTGACCGCACAGACGCTGCCTTGACCCGCGCCTCCTGTGGCTTTCATGGTGCCTTGAGTTACTCCAGTACCGTATGGGAAGTCTCCAGACAAATATTGGCGAGGATCAGCCGCGGTCTTTCCAGGGACCCACCTGTGAAGAGAGCTGGTCAGTATAGAATTCTCGACTGAAAAGCTGCAGACGTAGGTGATAAAGGGAACATACATCTTGCAATTGCAATGGTCAAGGATAGGACCGCCGCAACGCTTGTCGACTGTGCCGTCCGCGGCCTTTTTGCAGAGGTCAACTGGGTTGGCGCATGCTGAAGATGCAGCGACGAGAAGAAGGAAAGCCGACTTGAAGTTCATTGTGGAGGGAATTAGCCCAACAGTGTTGGTTCAATCAGACAAAACGAGTGTGGGGATGAGCGGGTTGGTGCTGGAAGTGGCTTGGCAAAGGGTAACGGAATGCTCGCTCCCTTCTTTATGTTCTTTTATGTCAGGGAACCGCGGAAATGGCCGAGAATATACTTTCTTAAGCACATTGCTGTCTGTATAGCTTATCGGCAGCAATTTATATAGTACACACTCTTGCTCGTTGATACTGACTCGTGGCAACCATCACTTCGTGCTCACTGATTGACAGTCCATGTCTTATGAGTATCTAGAACGGTCGCAGTGCAAGACAACTTTTCGAAGTCTGTTCACACTATCTAAGTTCTTAACCACTCAAAAGTGTTCCTAAACATTGATAGTCTTCAACTTACCTTGCGGTACGAATGGTCCATTTTTGACAGCAGAACCTGCTGCTTGAGTCCAGCCCCCCCCTTTCTCCAATTAGGTGCGTGTGCCTTTAGAACAGCAAAGTTTTGTCCCCGTGAATGAACGGCCCCGAGCCTTTCACCTCATTAGCGGAGGTTAGCGAAGTTCAAATCACAATTAATTAAGCACTTTCGTTGACAGAGATGTTCTGCAACTGCTGCGGGTGGGTGGAATGTGTTGTTCAGCCTACTTCCGAAACTCGGCCATTCGTGCAGCAAAGTTTTCTCAAGATGTAAAAGACTCACATCAAATCACCAATAAAAGTTTATAGATCCAAGACTCCATAGACTAGATCGAATTTTGCGATACCGAAGCGAAGAAGTCCCAGCTGTGCAGTTATTTCGCGAACCTCTTTTCTCTATTTAGTCTTCCGTTTTGTCGGCTGAGAATTGGTTGAGGTCCATTTCCTCAACCATCTGCTTCGAATTATCACCAATAACAACTGCAAACATGAACAAGGTCTTCCTTCCCGTACTTCGGGTGCTTTTCATGGCGCTCTTCTGGCAACTTGCCATTGCGGAAGCGACGTGCGCGGATGCACCTGTTGAAATCACCCCCCTCTTCAGTTCTTGGACCTCATTGATCCGCCAGCCCAGCGGAGTCTACCACGGAACACTGCAAGTCGGTGCCGCTCAGGGCCAACCCCCCCATGGCGGAATGCACATACAGCCAGCCGAGCTCAGCCAGCAAAGGCGTCGTTCAGTTCATCAGCCGCGCCAACTTTCGTCAAATCATGTGCGTTGCTGAAGACAAGACTGATCACACTACGGCCGAATGCTTTTGGCTGAATGCTGGTGATACCTGCAAGACAAACATTCTGCTACGTGGTTACTTCTTCATTGTAAGTAAATCATGGGAACATACTGCAACAACGCTGACTGCATAGGCTGGGCCAAAACCTTGATCACACAGTGCAACCGCAACCACATCGAAGATTGCAGTGGTATTTCTCATGCGAATCAAGCACTGCCTCTGGGGCCAGTGGGTACTATGATCTGCTTAGGTATTTTGGTATCACTGTTCGTGTGGGATAGATGTTACCATGTTCCAAGGGCTGGAAGATGGTCTGCCTCCACGTGGTTGTCCGTCAAGCTGTCCTGCTGGGAAATCCACAAGCGTGCTTTGGCTCGCGGGGTCAGATCTATTTGACATTATAACCAACCTTCGTGCTGTCCTTCGATTTCCATACGGCGTTTGATTGTGGCTGTGATGTCGATTCCTCGCTGCAGCATCTGCAGCATGAGCGGGTTTTCCTTTTGTGCGGGCATTCAAATCGGCGGAGGTGGAGAGGCAGCAATAGCGATGCCGACCGTTTTAGGTCCGATGGGTACATCCGCTCCGGTGGGCGAGTCCGTCCCGATGGATGAATCCGGCGAAGAGTGGTTGCATCCGAAGCTCTAAGTATGAATTCACGATAAATGTTGACTCGTCGGGTAAGCCGCAAGTTTCAATAATAATATTTCGTTCCTAAACAGCCATGCCAACATGATCGTCCGACCCGCTCGGAGAAACAAGCTTTCAAAAGGGGGCACATTATCGGACCATTTAGCAGGGGACACCCACGTTTTCGCAATCAACTTTGGAGGCTTGACAGCTTGTTTACCCCACCCTAGAAAACTTACAACAGTGCGTCCCATCATATTCGGGCTGAGCGTTCAGGGGGCGCTTTAACTGCAATACGAGCCCAAATTGTTTTCGGCGAATACCTCGATATTCCCCAGTGAATAGCAGGAGGTGGCTGCGGGATGGCCGTAGAACCTAATGATAATAATAGCCTTCATCTTCACACAACAGGTGGCAGATCAACACGGAGAGGACTCTCGCTCCCCGCTAGTTTGCCGTTCATCCGATCTCAGACAACGATCAGCATGGTTCCTCAACATTAAGAATCCTTTAGGATTCCAGCAGATCCGAAGATCTGCAAGGTGAAGAGCAATATAAATATTGAGGTCTTGGCTCCTCGTCTTGTTCAATCTTGGCAGCACCTTCATCTCCAATTACACAATTACGGAATTTAATCAAACTTGAACTTTACACTCGTTAAAACTATCACAAAAATGCGCACTTCCATCATTTCAGTAATTGTTGGCTTTGCAGCCCTTGCAGCTGCTAGCCCAATGCCTGACCCTACCGCACCACCAGCCGTGAGCGACTGCACGATTACCGTTACACACTTCGATCCTGGGTTCACTGGCGACTTCCAGCCCACGACTACGATCACACAGTACAACAGCACAGTCACTGTACCAAGCCCCGTCGACTGCCATGGCTGTGCTCACGTTACAACTGCCGACGCGCAGGCTCCTAACTGGGGTGGCCACGGACCCGCCTTTGAGAAGGTCATCTACGTCCCGGCCACAGTGCCTACGACGGTGACGTCGCCGGTTTGCGCCACACCAACGGCTTTTTAGGGCAAGATATTCTGGATTGGGTTAATGAATGGTTTGAAAGCATTGGGATAAAGGAAACAGACCACATCTAGGACGGACATGGGATCCATCCGTTAGCAGTTGGAGTTAAAGGTTTATTTGAAAGCTTGTTACGTCCAAGGAAGGGGGAAATGGAAATGAAGATATCAATAATAGCCCGCTGATGAATCGCCGTGTCCCTTCTATGTCCTGTCCGTGTTCGGTGATGTAGTGCAGCTCGTCCCAATGCTGACCTCATTAGTACTCAGATGGAAATCTTTTCCATCGGCATAAAATGTTCGCACTTCTACCCGAAACATCGCAACCATTGCAAAGGGATGTTCGGCATAGTTGAGCCGGGTGGCCTATGCTGGCAACGACCGAAGCGTGTAGGCCCGCGCCGGTGTCTAAGACAATAACGCTCGCGTCGAGGCTCATCATGATCTACATGCCGGATGTCAGCATTTAGGCGAAACTAGACTAAGGCAAGGAAAGAAGAGACAGGAATCACGGTTCGTGCAGTTTGAAACTCAATCTTTATGTAACGTATCAGGCAGTGCAACTAACGGACTACTCGCGAGTTCAACGCTTCAATGCCTCCACTTTGCAGCCTCTCGTCAGCTGTCTCTTGCTTACATGAGCCCGTGAAGATCCCGCTCTGCCTCCGCTTCAAGTCCTCCTCGATCTCATCAAGTGGAAAGAAATTCGGATTTTCGGCAAACATGGCGTCGAACTTCCGTTTGATGTCTTCAGGAACCTCGGGCGAGTTTTCGCTATCGCTCAGCCAGATCCGGATGAGATGTCTAGGATTCGTGATGTCCTCGGTAAAGCCGCGCCGTGCATGTTGAAGGTGAAGATTGTTCACCCTAAATGGGTCTTAGTCAGAGGGAGAACGGGTTCGGGGAGGACTTGAAAGCAACGTACCATTCAATATCACCTACTTCAAGGTCTGTCTTGAGACTGTACTCGTCGGCCACCCACTGCCAGCCCGCAAAGGCCTCTCGCTCTTCGAAGGACAATGGTGGATAATCGGCATCCCGATCGGGCATCTACCAATCGTCAGTCACTTTTACTGCACTTATCATATTCAAGACTCACCTCTCCGTAGCCAATGAAAGTCCGTGTCGAGAAATTGAGAAATAGGCGGCCGTCTTTTTTATGAATCAAGTGCACCCCATCGTCGGGTATGCCGTTGCTAAATATCGTGAGAACCTTCCAATTTGTGTTGGGGGATAGACGTACGCTCTCCAGCGGAACTTTTTCTCGGCCAGAAGCCGGACAATGTCAGGTCGATGTATGGCAAGATGGTTGTACACTTGTCCAGCGCTGACGACAGTCGATGCACCTCCGTGACCTGAAAGGCTCACAGCCATGAGTCCAACTACATCACTACCGGCGTCGCTGTGAAAGAATTGTGCGTTGGTGTCTTGAGCAGAAACATAGATCTTTCCACGGTTTTCTGGGTCCAAATGCGAAATGCTCTGGCGATTGTCAGCAACCCATGGACGAAGGCGGCATGGATACTTGATGCACACCTTGATGTGGCATATTGCTCGGTCCGCTCCCTGATTGAGACGTCGATCACCGACCCAAGCATTTATTCCGAGAAAAGCAATGATCTGGTCCGTCTTGTCGTACTTCTGGACCGGGAAGCCCCTGAGAATCTGAACTCCGATGCCGTTGTAGATTTTATCGGATACTCCGCGCAGCATTGGCCCGAGGACAGGAAGCGGGAAGTTCGCTTGACTAATATTGGAGAGAGGAACGGATTGCTTCTTCCAATTCTGTGATAACGGTTATGAGACTGTCGTCTGTTCATTGAAGTAGGGCGCGCTCAACATGCTCTCACCTTGATGGCAGCATCTATCTCGTCGATATGCTCTTGGGATAGGTGCTTGATATACCTTTCAGCTGCATAGAATCAGCATTCGCCCTTTGTCTTTGTCTTACAAGTAGGGAACTTACGATGCTGTTCTAAATATTGACCAGTCCACGTCTGAGGCCCAGAAAATTGAGATGGCCACCCCTTTGGGACTGAGCCAAAGCTCGAGGTTTCGGGGTGAGCTGCATTTGCCTTTTCCCATTCAGGCTTATTGAGCAAAAAGCCTGGAGCGTCTGAATAGAGCTCGTACGGAATGATGTCGGCAGTCATGGCTGTATTGATAGGGGTCTTTGTTGCTCAAAGACCTGGAGGCTCTGTCAGCTCCAAATGTTGCTTAATAGTCCGCGGTCAGACGCTCGTCATATGAATGGACTTTTCTCTTCATCTACCTCACCCTCTAGCGCATTGGAGTCCAGGCCGCCCACATTCCGGACAATGAGCGATAGTTGGTAATCAATTTGTCGGATACACGATGGCGCAATTATCAGGATTGATGGTAAATCGTTCTAGGCGGTCGGAACGACACGGGTGTTGCGCGGACATGCAGCAAGCCGGCTTTCGGCGCCGATTTCTGTTAATCGACCACCTCTTCTCCAATCATCACATCTCTCTGCGTCTACTACCCAGGTGACAAAGAGAGTTGGGGTGAATGAACGCTCCACAATGCCGGCATTGCACCATTCCTTGGGTGCCATGGCATCAAGAATGGGCAGAAGTAGATCGCTCCGCATCGCTTCTTCGCGCTCCTGATAAGTAATACGATCTGCTTGGTTCTTGTTCGAGGCCGTCGTATCATCTGCGAGGCCTTCCAACCAAATCTGCAAAATGGCTGACAAGTCCAGTTTGACTCAGGATCAAGATTCGTCGCACACCAAGCGAGATGACATTGTTCATAATGTTGTCGGTGATGTGGAAGGGGAGGCTGCTGGTCAGCGGAAACGTGGATGGTTTCACCGAAGCGGTAGGTCTGAAGAACGAAAGCTTTTGTTGAAGCTCGACTTCTTCATTCTGTAAGTATCCTGAGAGAAGTTCACTTCCTTCACCTCAGTGACTAACATTACAAGCTCATGGGCATGTTTCGGATACTTCCTCAGACTTTTGGATGCTTCAAATCTTCGTAAGTACTTGCAAGCCTGTGTGGATCATATGCGTCTTACACAAAAACATCTAACCGCTATTGCAGGAAACGCTTACGTGTCTGGCATGGAAGAGGTAATACTTAGAATGCCACACCTCGTGGGGACTTTTTGTGCTAATGGCTGCAGGACTTGGAACTCTTCGCCGACCAATACAATTATTTTCAAACGTTGTGGACAATAGGCTACACAGTTGGCATGATTCCCAGCCAAATCATTGTCACCCATGTCCGTCCCTCGATATGGCTCCCATCCATCGAGGTAACATGGGCTATCCTCACCTTCTGTTTTGCCGCCGTCAAGAACTACAAGCATATATATGCTCTGCGACTTCTACTCGGTCTCGCCGAATCTCCATTCTACGTCGGAGGCATGACCCTTCTCGGAAGCTGGTACACTCCCAAGGGTGAACATCCTAGCTGCAAGTCCAGAAATCCCCAGCTAACGACTGAGCAGAGCTAGCCACTCGCGCTACCATTTTTTACTCGGCATCATTCGCGGCCCAAATGTTCTCCGGATACCTTCAAGCAGCAGTGTACACTGGACTTGACGGCGTCCACGGAATACCAGGCTGGAGATGGCTTTTCATCATGTGTGGCATCATCAACGTTCCTGGTGCGGTTTGGGGCTTCTTTGCTGTCCCTGACAGCCCATATGACACGCGCGTGTTCTATCTCAACGAAAAGGAGCGAGAACTCGCAAAGTCACGAGTGGTTGAGGTCGGGCGCAAAAGATTCGAGGGCGTGACGCTTAAAACATTCAAGAGCGTGCTTAGTCGCCCGTTTGTCTGGGTCTTTGTACTCAACTACATGTGAGTCATTCGTATTCGTAAATGTTTCTACCTAACGCAACGGAGTTTCTTCTGCATCGATACCTACGGCCTCGACTTTTTTGCGATCTACCTCAAAACCCTGAACGAGTATACAGTCCAGGAGATCAATGTGTGAGTATATGACAAGTACACAATAGGACCTTTGGCTGAAACCTTCCCAGCATCCCCACAGCAGCGTACGCAGTTGGTCTCGTCGGCACAATCTTGTTCGGCCTGCTGTCTGATAGACTGGAGAATCGCATCTGGGTCGCCCTTGTAATCACGTCCTTGAACTTCTTCACGTGTGTTGTCTTGGCCGCTGTCCCATCGAAGGCGGGCGCGTTCTTCGGGTACCTCGTCAACCCGGCCACCCTTGCCTATGGGCCGGTTATCATCGTAAGCAGATTCCCATTTGTTTCTCTTCATGCGCAGATGCTGACTCATGGACAAGTCTTACCTTGGTGAAACCTTTGGCTCTCTAGCGGATGAGAGAGCTCTCATTCTTGGGATTGCTCAAGCCTTCGGTGCGACTTTCAACGCCTGGGTCCCCCTTCTCATATTCAATACAGGAACGCAGACGCCCTACTTCCGGGTAGGATGGATCACCTCGTCTGTTTGTGCGGTTGCGCAGGCTGGAGGTATACTGCTATTGGGCCACTTGGGTCGAAAGGTTCGAAAGGCGACAGTTGATACTTAACTAAAATGCGTCAATTCACCGCAGTTGCAATGGCAGTAACGCTATCTAGGGCGATGAGAGTTGCAGCAGGAACACTTCAAGATGTGGAAAGACCACCAGGGTTTTTGAGAAGAAATACCGGCCTTGGAAATGATGGAATCTCTAGCGGTCTATGTCTAACGCTTAAGTTTGACAGTTCAACTCCTTGTTACGATGCTGTCGGGTGTTCACAGCAATTTCTCCTCCTCGCTCAAGCCAGCCTTCCAAGCCTTGTAATCAAAACCCAGTTGCTCCAAAGTCGTGACCTCGTGTCTCTTCTCACCAAGCTTTCTCGATGCGATTTTGATGAGCGGGAAACGTTCTCTCGTCCACCTCTTCTCGTCATCCCAGAATGGCGGAATCTTGCCGACGCCATCGTTTTCGAGTCCCTCTCGCTTCGCAGCCTCAAGACTCCGGGCGTGGAGCATGTTGATGTAATCCAAGTCTTTGGGGAAAGCCAGGTTGTGTAGCATCTTGCTTTCTCCCTTATCTTTCAGCATCTTTGCTTCCCATTCCCTCATCTCGGCGGTGCTTGGCAGATGCAACCTGTCTGCCCACGCTCGTGCAACGAATGCGGCCTGGCCTTCGGCCACAGGGAACGGGACGATGCGTTGCGGGATACCAGCGAACGCCAACGTTGGATCATCGATGTAGAGAAGGTGCTCATACAAATTGCGAGCGTAGGCGCCGTCTGTGACAACTGGCGGTGAGAGGTCGCGAAGAAAAGGGAAGCTGTAGAAATAACCCGTGCAGAAGACCACACCGTCAACGTCGGACTCAACTTCGCCGTTGGCAAGGCGCACCTTGCGACCTTCAGGGATAAACTCAAGAATCTCCGGCACCATCTTGGCCCATGATGAGCGGTCTTCCGCTGGAGTATTCGGGGTTGTCTTTTCGGACACAATGATTGGGAGTTTGCAGACTGCAGAGATCTGGGCGCTCAAGTCGATACCGGAGGCCGAGTTACCGACAACGATAACTTTCTGCATTGTTGAGTCAGCCCACAATTCTCATGACTGCATGTTGAGTGTGGCTTACTTTGCCCACATATTGAGAAGGGTTCCTGTAGAACTTGGAATGGGAAATGGTGCCAGGGTGCGCCTTGTCAAAGTCGGCGAGGCCTGAAATATCCGGGATGAAAGGGTCGTTGTAGTGGCCGCTGGCGACCATCACTGCATCAAATTGCGACTTCGTTGTCTCATTGGTCTTGAGGTCTTGTGTCTCAATCTCCCAGCATACTTGGCTGCCACTCTGCACCTTCTTCAAGCTCAAAACCTGCGTCGATAGTGAAATGATGGGCCTCAGTTCTTCGGCGTAGTCTTCAAGATACTTCTTCACGGTCTGGTGAGGAGGGAATAGCGAGGCAGTAGAGGGGAACTTCTTGTCGGAGTAGTTCATGAGCGTGTGCGGGATGTTGGTCTCAAGAAAGTCATAGACTGGCGACACGAACTGCTTGGCCTCATGACCTTCAACGGCAATAGCCGTGTCCGGGTTCCTTGTGGGCTGCGTTCTCGGGATGCTGAAGTCATTATCAATGACGCTGAGAGAGCTGTAGGTCCAAACACCGCCGACGGTATCTCTTTGCTCGAAAATTTGGACTTTGGAGAACTTCTTCTCGGCCAAAAAATATCTACGGGCCGGTCATTAGCATCAAGATACTCCAGCGCTGGCTCGGACGGACGACAGCTTACTTTGCGGCGGCGAGACCGCACGGTCCGGCGCCGATCACGGCGACCCGGTCGACATTGAGATTATCCTCCGTGTACATGGGCGACATGGCTGCGGGGTTTAACCGGATCGGTGTGGGACGGAGTATGGAAGAGTAGGGTTGGAATGATGATGAGGGGTATCGTAGCGCCGATGAACAGCTCGGAGGAAGCCTGTGAAGAGAGGAGATGACGGACTTAAATGAGTAAACACCAGTGAAGAGTTGTCTATACTGGCGAGAGAACATCAGGCGATTGCATTCCCATATCTTCAGATTTCGGCAATGGGCACAAACCACTCATTCAGCTGGTGCAATCATGCTTTGCAATCGGACGAAAGGCCCGCTGGGATGGCGAGGCGAGAGCGATGACCGACACCGATCGGCCTTGGCCCGACTGGCGCTATTGTCTGCTAAGCTGTCTGAGTCGCGCGAACACTGAACTGTGTGGTGGGACTATTACATACACGCATCCTTCAGCCGGAGAGAAGCGGTCTTGGGACGAACAGCAGTCTCATGCAAGTCATATACTTCCCCGTCTTACAATTCTCTTGGCAGAGACTCTATCATTCACAGAGACATGAAGCTTCTGTTTTCCCATGTTCGCCAGTGATCGCAGCACGCACTTGTCTCCCACAAAGTCGCAATCCGGCCACCTAACCAGAAAAGAAAATTCTTCAGCAGTATTAAGTCCGAACGACAGATCCCCGACAGCGGGGCAAAACATGGGCCATCTACTGGACAATTGTCCCTGAAGAAAGAATTCTCATTCGCCCACCCCCTCAGCCGATAGAGATTGCGTGCTCTGCGCCCGTTCGAGTCGTGCTTGTGTTGATTGCTATCAAACTGACTGCCGAAATGCCTGGGTCGTGCTAGCTGCCGGCGCAAGGCTTGAAAAAAAAAAGCTATCGGATCTGCGCGGACTGGACAGCCTGGCTGGAGTGCAACGCTGAAAGGGGGGAGAGAGGAAATATTCGCACTCTGCAAAGATGCTGCGTTCTCTACGTCGACATACATGATAGAAATAGGAACGGATTGTTGCAGCATTACCACCACGTCGGAAGGGCCTGGCATCTATCCATGGCCTGAAGAGCAGCTCAGCATAATAGCGGAGTGAGCCCCGACTCCGACTCAGATCGCCCCCACGACTCCTGGATTCCAAGCCATTCGATCCCCCCTATCATCTATGCGCCTGCGACGCGCCCGCGCACAGTGACCGACCGACCGATCGTCCCCCTTCCGACTCGAGACGGGCGTTGCGTCGGCGTCTCGCCGTCTTCACTGGCAAACCCGTCGCAATGTCTCCCGAACAGATCAAATCCAACATCCACCGCTTCCGCGTCCGACGAACATCCCCATCGTCTCCATCCACTCTCCGCCGCTCGGCTTCTCCGCCCGTACTGCCTCGCGCATCTCTGCCGCCACCGCAGACATCACCAGCGCCAGCTGGAGGAGCCCCGGATATCACTCCCGATGTCTCATCTTCAGGAGCCGCCTCGGCAGTCGTAGGGACAACGTCTCTGCCGCCCCCTACGCCGTCGATACTGCCAAGTCCTATTGCTGCTGCCCCTGGACTTCCATCAGGCGGCACTGTTCCCAATGTCGCCAACGCCACTGCCTCGGCGAACACGGGAGTAGCGGCGTCCTCGCCTAAGGCGCCCCGCGATATTCCCGCTTGCGACCGGTGCCGTGCTTTCAAGAAGAAATGCTCACGCACATTTCCCATCTGCACGTTGTGTGCCAATGCTGGACATAAGTGTTCTTTCTCCACACCAGCTGCGTCCACGGCAGCCCAAACGCATCATCTGAGGGCGAGGATTGAATGGTTAACACGATACATCAACGAAAGCCATCCCGTACCTGGAGGCGGAGTTGAGCATCTCGATACCGGAACGGACCTTGTTTCGCTCCTAGGGTCTTCACCGGGAGCTCTTTCCCAGCACCAAAGCCAGCAATTGGATATCAACCCATCAACGCCTGCGAATGGAGCCACGCCTGGGTCCGCAAGTGTGGGAAGCAACCGAGGGGATGGGTTCCCGATCCACAACGCCGGGTCGGTTGTCTTTGATCAGCGAAGTTTGGCCGTGAACGTTGACTCGGAATCACCTTCATCGAGAGGGAACGATCATATGCGTGCTCTTCTCCAGCCGGCACCAGAGCCAGGGAGGATACTTGGTATCGAGTCTATCCGGGATGGAGGCTTCTCATCATCGAGTTTGCCGCGAGATGCCATTGCTCGTCGATTTGTGGACGCCTACTTCCGCAACGTGAATCGAGCATATCCGTTCGTGAATAGGTCCAAGGTTCTCAGGGATCTGGAGAACTTGGGCGAGTCTTCCAAACGACGGCGGGATTCAGATACGACCCTACTGTATCTCATCATGGCCATTGGGTGCACCACCCTGCAGAGAGCGGGTCAGATACCCAACGATACGACATCCAAGTTCGACGTGGCTTATGCCGACATCATCCAAGAATGCTTGGCTCGCGAAGACCTTGAGTCGATTCAAATCCTGGTCTTGGTAGCACTGTACTCTCTCTTTGATCCAAAGGGCATCTCAACGTGGTCAATAGCCGGCATAGTCTCTCGCCAGGCGATGCTGCTAGGCCTGAGCCGCAGATCTTCCGAAGACAAGACGCTGTCTGCCATGGATATCGAGCTGCGACATCGTCTCTTCTGGAGCATCTACGTCCTGGACAGGATGATGGCTATTTCATTGGGCTTGCCGGTGGCGCTTATCGACGAGAACATGGATGTCCCGTTGCCCGGGCTGACAATTGAAGAATTCGCCTCTCCAGATCGTCAACATTTTGCCTCTATCCTCCAGACAAACCGTCACGTCATCCAGCTGAGGCAATTGGAAGATCGTATACTCCGCCAGATTCACACGCGAAAGCAGTCAGACGTCGCTGCCCTCTCTCAGGCTGACCGCCGTGTCATTGTTCAGGATATCAGATCGGAAATCGAGAACTGGTACAGCAACGGCTGCCTTGTGTCTCCCTTGGAGCCAGACAACGTGCCGATTCATAATTCGGTCACCTGGTTGAGTGCACGGTACTACCATCTTTTGCTTTTGCTTCACTATCCCTGCCACTTCAACTCATGCGGCTCCATTGTGTCCGCGGTCGAGCTCTTGCGCTTCGCCCAGAAGCATCTCCAGTCTACCTCAGTCCTTCTCCAGCAACGTCAGCTGCCACTGAACCGGGTCACCCTGTGCCGTTTGTTCCCTGTCGGATTGGTCCTTATCCACAGCTTCATCGCCTGTGCCGCAGAGTGCACGTCGTTCTCGGCCAGAGACGAAGTCGCCGTTATTGTCAGCATTCTCGAAGCCTTCCCCGAAGGCTGGACCCACGCACGGCAAGCAGCACACGTCTTCCGCCAGTTCATGAGTCTGATCTCAGGCGTACCCAACAACGGCTACACCACTCTTCACTTCCCCGGCAGCAGTAACAACATGTATGGCAATAACGGACAGATGACCTCATCGAGGGAGTCATACCAGGCGATGGTCCGTCCAATGATCACAAGTCTAGTCACTCTGATGCAAGAAGTACTTGGGAGGTCTACTTGTTACGCTTTCCATGAATGGCCCGATGATTGCGCCGGCCAGCCACCTACTACGACGGGTTTCAGGGGGCAAGCTGCTTTCTCGCCGACAGGAACACGACACTCGGCCGTTGCGGGAAATGAGGACTCTGCTATGGACTATGGATGGGGGTCGTTGGAATTGGGATTTCTTTGAATGCTTGTAGCTACCGTCATCCTTTAGCGTTGCGCCCTTGCTTTCAGATACCACGCGTCTTAAATTGAACAAAATAGTCATTCCTGAGCTGTGACGACGTAGGAACCATCGAAACAGTCGACGTTCCTGGATTCAAATGTTCAAGTGTCTTCGGATCTTGGGGAGCACCACTTCCGGCTTCTCTGCATGCACTCCATGGTTCGCGTTCTCAACCATGAACAACTCAGCCCCAGGGATCTTCTCGGCAATCAACTTCGAGTTTTCTGTACTTGATGTCAGCTTGTGATTTACTCTGGATGCTAACGGTATTTTCAGTTACGCTTACCTGGAGGGCAGATCCAGTCCTTGTCACCGACAACCACCAACGTCTTGGCGGTAATCTGTGACAAGCGGTCTGTGTAATCGAAGTACTTCTCCTTCTCCGAGTATAGATCATCTAAAAACACGGTCAGTTTACTAAAACGATTCTCCACTGGCATCGTTAACTTGCTGTGCGATTCAGCCACATAAACGCCATCCAGATTGCTCTTCAGCGCCGCATCCGGGTCAAAGACCTCCCTGTAAAGTGGCATCATGGCGAAATAGATCAGCTGGAACTCACGATCACTCTCGTACGCTCCAAAGACCTTGTTTCTCAGCATGTCAACAGAGAAGCTGGGAACTTTATGTATTCTCTCTTCCAGAGTCTTGATCGCCCCGGCCTCGTCTGGACTATGGTCAGTAATAATATCAGCACGCATGGCACAAGGGCTCACGGTGATGAGATGCAGCTGTGCCTCTGAGAATCAAATGCGAAACTTTAGGGGCATATTTGATCGCATAGTGCTGAGCCAGAAAGCCGCCGAAGCTTCCACCACAGATGATGACTTGCTTGGCACCGGCAAAGTGCTGCCTTACGCCCTCGATGTCATCTACTATCTGCTCGAATGTGTACGGCTTGGTCAAAGAGCTCTGACCATGTCCACGGTAATCGAACGACAAGACTCGGATCTTGTCACTTAGCTGGCTGTAGACTTTGAAGTCCGACCTATGATCACCTGAACAGCTGCTTAGCCGTGCAAAGTCACTGACAGAATAGTGCTCATGCTCACCCATTCCTCGGCCTCCATGAAGAGTGATCATGAGCGGCGCATCCTCCGGACCGGCAACGCGATATGCCAGTCGGGCACCGTTGATTTCTACGAAGTCAACCATGTTGAGACACAGTTCGACAGGAGCTGGTTGAGTCAAAAGTCGGTGAGTTCAGCTCGGTGCTCTGTTTTTAACTGAGTTAATAGTCAACCGATGTGCAAATCTGGGAACCAGTCAATATCATGCCAGACAGCCTGGGCATTGAATCACGCCTTAGCAGCGATATCTGAACCAACTCACCTATCGCCCTGAAAGCTGAAGCAGCGGGGTTCGGGCTTTCAGAAGGCGAATGGGGGATAAGCCGGGGACTGCTGGGCGTACGAGTAAGGGTCCGATGGCCGGGCCAGAAACCGGACAGCGTCCGACACAAACTACCCAAACGGGTAAAGAGGTAGGCCCCTCCCCGATACCACCATCAAAGGGACAAATCCACCGCGCGGCACCGGGGTAAAATTGTTGTTTTGGCGTTCCAAGCACCCGGTCTTTTGCTGAATGTCACTGAGCGGACTGCCGATGTCGTGCTCGACCCAGAAAAATTCGTTATCCAATCATTGTCGGGCTATCGGCCGCCTTGAGAACGACTCAGGAGACCGGTGGCTGTCATAAAGATCTGCTGCCCAGTCACCCCCAAACCTTCACCTTCTGTTAAGGGCCTCACCGAGCAGCATTTCTGGGTCCGACGCGTGTGTTGTGCGAAGCGGTGCTTCTCCTTGTCTCCGAACATCCGAGTCAGTTGCTCGTCACGCAGCCGAGTCAAACATGGCGCACCTCGACAAGAACGCGTCGAACGCGATCAAGGCGGTCGACCCGGTCGACCGGGCCCACGACAAGGACGGCATTTCGACGACGTCCGCCGCCGCCGCTGCCGATACCAAGCCGGAGCCCCCACAAGAGCCTGAGCAGGCCGGATGGTTCCACTGGCATGAGCCGGGCACATCTCCCGAAGAGAAGAAGCTCATCTTCAAGCTCGATTGGTTTCTCCTGAGCTTCGGTTGTTTGATGTATTTTATCAAACAGGTATGAAGCTTTCGCTGAGGTTCTCACGCTCATCGCTGATTTCATATGGACAGCTCGATCAAAACAACATTTCAAATGCCTATGTGTCCGGCATGAGCGATGAGCTTGGCTTCGGCCCTGGCAACGAGCTTTCTTGGATGAATACGTACTTCAACATCGGCACTATCATCGGCGGATCTTTCGCAAACCTGATCATCACCGTCGTCCGTCCTCGCTACTGGTTGCCAGGCTGCCTCTTGGTATGGTCGCTCTTCGTACTGTTTCTTTTCAAATGCAACAGTGCGCACCAATTCTATGTCCTCCGCTTCTTTATCGGCTTGTTCGAGTCTAGCGCCTGGCCGGGTGTGATGTTCACACTCGGCTCTTGGTACCGTAAGAGCGAACTTGCCCGTCGCTCTGGTCTGTTTGTCATGAGCGGCGTCTTGGGTCAGATGTTCTCTGGATATCTGCAATCCGCCCTTTACACCGGAATGGGCGGCAAAGGAGGCCTGTCAGCGTGGAGATGGCTCTTCATCTTTGATTTCATCCTCGCCATTCCAGTCGTTATCTACGGCGTTGTAAGTTGGCAATTCCTACCGCGCTTTAGCATGCATGTACTGACCTCTCTGTCAGATTTGCTTCCCTGACACTCCACACACCACCCAAGCCTTCTATCTCAGCGACTGGGAGAAGGAGCGTGCCCGTCAGCGCATCGAAGAAGAGGGCCGCAAGCCCGTCGGTAAGATGAACTGGTCCGTCATCACCCGCGTCTTCGGCTCATGGCAGGTCTACGCCTTCACCGCCGCCTACTGCTTCTGGACTCTCACCTGCGGCTCCTACATCATCCAGTACTTCACCCTCTACCTCAAGTCCACCAAGATGTACACGGTGCCCGAGATCAACAACATCCCAACCTGCGTCGGCGCAATAAACTTCGTCTTCATGGTCTCGACGGGTTACATTGCCGACAAGATGCGCAGCCGTGGACCGATCTGCTTCGCCGTCGGCTGTCTGTTGACCTTTGTCTACGCCGTTCTCACCGCTTGGACTGTTCCTCATATGCTTCGTATGGCTGTCTTCATTCTTGCAGGATGCTACGGCTGCTACACGCCTTTGTTGGCGGGTTGGGCAAATGAGGCATGTGGTGGCGACCAGCAGAAGCGTGCCTTTGTCTTGGGTTTCATGGTTTCTGTTGGACAGGCCGTCGTCATCCCGTTCCAGCAGCTGCAGATGCCCAGCGGACAAGCTCCAGCTTTCGCGAAGACACATGGATGGGGCAGTGCTCTTGCCTTTGTCATCGCGTTGACAGTTTGGACAGGTGTTGGGCTTCCCTTGTTGCAGAAGTGGAGGGAGTCGAGAGTAAAGGTTAGCACTCATGAAAGTGACAGCGATGAGGCTTGAGCTGGCGTGTTGTGCGACAAGTGCCACTTAGAATTATGAACTTGCGACGCAGATAGGGATATATCTATAGTGTGTAATACAATATCTAGAACGATAATATGTTCAGTCTGTCTTCATTCCAGTAAATGCTCAATAGACGCTTCTGCGCTTCTCGCCAAATGCTATGCCAGCGTGTATCAGTCTAGGCGTGTCCGGCTACCAACAAACGCCCGACTGGGTATGCCCGAAACTCGCGATATCGGTCCACCCTGGCGCCGTCTTTGTGATGTTCATGATGACGCTAGCACAATGCCCAGCATGCTCCCACGCATGCACTACCATGTCTGCCTTGGTCCCAAGATTCAAAGATGCGGCTGCCTGAAGAAGCAAGTACATGCAATGCGTCATATGATGTCCCACCGTCGTCCACGCTGGCGTCAAGATATCCATCCCATTCAGCTCCTCCTCGGATATCTTTGCCCCAGGCTTGCCATCCTCATCTCTGTAGAAGACAAATTCAGGGACATCGCCGTCCAGAGCCTTGAAAACAGCCTCCTTCGCAGGTTCGAAATCTGCTGTGCAGTGTGGCGACATCCACCTGTTGTGAAGTTTATTGAACGTGCATCCTCTTTTCTTAGCTTCAGTTGTTGTTGGGCCGCACCAGTAATGCCCATCAGCCACTTCCGCTTGCTTCATCCATTTCAGAACATTGTCCGTGCCTTCACCCGGTTGGGGATATCGTGGAAGCGGCTTCGATGCGAACAAAACCCAGGTAATCAACAGCACTACCATCAAGAATCCGGAAAAGCATTGCCATCTTCGTATCGTGATTTCTTTTCCCCGGAGCTCCAACGTAAGGGCAGTCGCATTTTCTCTTTGCCCATCTGCGTCTTCGACTGGTGTGTAATTGGAGTTTCTCAAGAACGAAATTGGGTTCCAATATCGTGGGCCCCTTTGCCTGTCGGTAATAGAGTGCCCGTTGAGTGCGTTGTACATTTCGGAAGGCTTCGAATCCTCGTCTTCGTCATATGTACCCATTGTGTGTATGGATGATTGATAATCGTCTGGAAGGATCTAAAGTCAAGTATCAGTGCGTAGTTTAGGTCATTTTATTATTTGGTTGCCAGTTTCCATACCTTGAAGTTGTATAGAAGCAATAGCCTGCAGGGATAAGACTGCCGCTGGTCTCTGAGCAAAATCAAAGACTGCCAAGTTATTAGCAAAAGGGAAGGAGTCGCCTACAAAAGGTCTTTGACAACGGTAGCCAATGACGCAGCGACCTTCAAACTTATGAGCAGCCCATTATATCGCCGAGAGGAGTGCTGCTATTCAGTAGCACCCTTGTCGGTCTCGCGTTGTGACATTTCGGACCGAGACTGAGGGTTCGGACCGCCCATGCAATCAATCGAACGCACTCAGAAACCTTGATTGACATCTCTCATCAAGGTCAGCGTTAGAAGCAAAACACGTCTTCATTTTCGACCTCACGTTGGCAATTGAATCGTCTTGAGTGGGCGCTAATAAAAAATACGAAAATAGTGATCTTCAATTGAGAAAGTCAAGTTCTGTGAAATCCGAAGGGATGGGACAGAACTGGAAACAGTAACCTCGAAGCACAAGCGCTAGAATCGACATAAAAATGTTTCACGTTTTCTTTCACGCCTAGTTAGAAGTTTCTGCTACTGCCCTTTTGACAATCACAGTCATGTCATTGGTGCACCATTAGCCATAGGCCAGAGGTACACCTATCCCACAGTCTTAAAGGTTAGTGCGGTTCTTGCGGGGCTCTCCATATAACGAAGCCCCGCAAGTACTACGCTAACCTTTAACACCGTGGGATAGGTGTACATCACCTGTCATGTCGGCAAGACTGGCAGGACGGGAGTCGCACTCCAGACGGTTACTCCACGTACAATCTAAGCGGCGGGTGCAGATGCATTGCGCCCTAGCCATGTCCCTCGCATTCTTGGATACTGTTCCTCTATGTCCAACCCATGACGGACCTCTAAATACATCAGGGTCTTCACCCAACCCCCGATCTTCGGAAGCTGTATGGGTCGAGGTATGTGGGGAAGGGGGGACTCGCAGTTAAAGTGAGGGGACGCATCCCTGCTGATCTCAACTCCGCGTCGTTCTCTCATTTTCATTACCGCATTGGGAAAGGCTCCTGGTCGCTTCAAAGCCCACATTGCTGCATGGCCAACTTATGACACTGGAGGAGCAAGTCATAAGTATCATCCTCGGATTGGCTGTCATGATCTGGACTCTCATTTTGATTTCTGAAATAGGCAATGAGCTATTGTGGACTTCCTCCTAAAGAGCTATGAGCTTTTGTAGCTTAGATTTGGTTTCGGCTGATCATGGTTCCATCTAGTGCCGCGACAAGGCACCCCCCTCGGTTGAACATGGGCCAAACGAGCCGATGAACAATGACATTGCGGCACCATAGGTGTTCGTTGTTTTGGAAAATCCAAATAAAAAGAGGGGGCCCAGAGAGCTTTTTATTCAACCTCGTCATATTTCTACCTTACATTCTCTTGTTCGGTTCTACCATAGCTGACTATCCTGTCTCACAACTCCAAGAGCGCAATTTCCACAGCTTCCCCAGAACAGCTCATCAACGAAGATCAACATGTTCGACGTCGTCGTTGTTGGTGCCGGCCTGAGCGGTCTTCAGGCTGCCTACTCTGCGCAGCAAGCAGGACTATCTGTCGTCGTTGTCGAGGCGAGAAATCGCGTTGGCGGAAAGACCTGGAGCGTGCCTTTGGCATCTGGCAGAGGATATGCTGACCTTGGAGCTGCCTGGGTCAATGAAAACACTCAACCACGTATTACCAAGTACATCCGAAAGTTTAATCTTCCCATGGTTGCACAGCGACTAGTCGGGAAAGCAGTCATGCAAGTGTCCGAGAACGAGAGGATCGAGTTTCCATTTGGCATCACACCCGAGGTGAGTGGAAGACGAGCATACCGTCATGGTATTGTTCGGGGCACGGCTGATTGCGCGGTTGCAGTTCACTCCCGAAGAAAAGAAGAATCTGGAGTTCGTTCGAGACCACATCCAAGCCGAGTCGCTGAAGGGAGAGACTCCCAAAAGAGACGATGACAGCGTGTCTTTGGATCAATACGTGAGAAATCTAGGTGCACTTCCCAAGACTATCGCCATGATCAATCTTTGGGCGAAAGTCATGCATGGTGTAGAGTCTACGGAGGAGTCTGCTGCTTGGTTCATCGACTACTGTCGTCGGAACAGAGGCCTCTTCTCGATTCGTGCAGATGACAAAACTGGTGGAAACTACCAGCGCTTGCACAAAGGTATGTGCCCAATTCTCATAGAGCATGAAATCGGACTGACCATGGGCGATAGGCACGCAGCAAATCGCAAATGGCATTGCCGACCTGATAGGGCACAGCAACATTCATCTTTCCGCGCCCGTTGTGTCGATCGAAAATACATCGGCTCATGTCACCGTGATCACTACCAACGGCCAACGTTTCGTCGGAAGAAAGGCCATTGTATCCGTTCCAAGCACCATGATGCGTGACCTGAACATCTTTCCACCCTTGCCTTCAAGACTCCGTGAAGTCAACGATTCTTCAAGGCTTGGTCACTACAACAAGGCTATTCTATGCTACGACAAGCCATGGTGGAGGGACCTTGGATACAACGGTTTCTTCATGAGCTACACTGGCCCAATCACTTTGGCTCGCGACACCAGTGTCGATGAGACGGGATTCTACTCGCTGACTTGCTTTGTCAACGGCAAGTTTGGTGAAGAATGGTCTAAGCTTCACCCCCACGAGCGTCGTAACGTGGTCTTAAAGCAAGTTGCGAAGGCTTTCAACGTTGGACAAGATTCGGAAGTCTTCCGTCCGATTGAAATCTTCGACCAAATCTGGAAGCATGAGCAATATAGCAAGGGGGCGCTGGCTCCGATTCAGGAGATTGGACACTACACGGAGTATGCTGATGTCTACGGCAAGCCCGTTGGCAATCTTCATTTCGTGGGTACTGAATACTCTACAGAATGGAAGGGGTACATGGAGGGGGCATTGTGTTCTGGGGAGCAGGGTGCGAAGGAGGTGGTTGACGCTGTTCAGCGTACTACGCGAGCGAATCTGTAAGAAGCACAATTTGGATGCCTATGGAGATTAGGGAGATTGTGAGTTTCTTTCAAAGAAAATAGAAATTTACGATTTACAATTTGAAAGATCCTAATGCTGCCAGTTACTCGATCCAATTCCAGCTCCTTAGATATCTACATGATGAAAACTCGCATGCTCGGAATCAGTGCTGGCCAATTCGTCTCGTTCCCTCTTCCAGTCTGGTCCCAGATATGTCTCAATAGCTCCAATGCCTTCAGGATGTTCAAAAATTGGTTACGATGATATTGCCGTAGCAAGAAATGCTCAAAGAATGCCTGTTGCTCGCGATTGCGGCATTCCAGAGCGGCGATGAAGGTCGGCCAGACAAGACAATGCTCGCCAACGGATCCCTCAGGTAAGGATTCTAGGCTTTTCTGGTACGAGTTAATTAGTTCTGCTGACGATGATTTCAGGATACTCTCTCCCAAAACCCGGCTCAGGTAGATATTGAACGCCTGCTGGCGAAGGTCCGCCAGGCGGTCGAACGTAGAACAATAATCAGGGTATAAGCTGTGGTAGTAGTACAGACAATCGAAGCTTTCCTTCCCATGATACACGATGGCGTCGACTCCAGCCTCCTGGCTGAGTAGCGGTGCAGCATATACTCTCATCCTGTGCAAATGTGTCAGTAACATGCTCAGTGGAGTAGATTATCGGGGAGGCTTACTTGTGAATCTGCCGCAAAAGAAATCCACCCATTTCCGCACCGTCCTTCATCACATCCTCTCCACCGACTGCATGGATTGCCGATTCTAACATCTGAAAAACGATTGGAAAATCCGATAACCCGTTGACCATCACAGAAACAAGCAGAACCATGATTGCGAGAATAATAAATTGTCTCGTTTCCTTGTCCCAGTCCACCAGATCCTTTCGACTCAAAAGCTGATTGATTGCCCGCGTGTAAAGGCGGTACGGGTCGAATTCAGACTGAATAGCAGTCTTTGCGGCAATGTGGAAGGCTGACACAGCCAGAACAGAGTCCATTATCATCTCGTTGGTCCATGCAAGAGGAAGGACCATATGCCGCCAACCGTTGAAGGAGTCATCAATGACAACCATCTCTGGCGCGATGGATTTGGAGACTTTTCGATCGTGTTAGTATCAATACGGCTCCATGGTATCCATAGAGTCTTACAGTGCGCTATCAGGAACTCTTTCCACGGCTCGAGTATGCTTAAGCCTGGCAAGATAGTCGGTGTGCGGGGCCTGACGACCAGTTCAGTCTCGGTTACTGTTGAAGAGGATGCACTTTTGTCAACATCCCCCTTTCCTTTGATAGCTCTATCGTTCGAGACCTCAGAGTCGGAGCCGTCATCGTCAATTCGTGGGCTCGTCTGTAAGCAAGCATCTATCAATGCGTCTTGCTGGGCAGTGTCATAGAAATCCATTGTAGAACTCTCCCAATAGATGGCTTCCCAAGAATCATGAGATGTTTGTTGTTCCGGGTTAGTAGCATGATGGTTGTGATATCGGAATCTCGACGATAGACTCGTTGACGATTGGGCGAGTGCGTCTTTCAGCAGCGCACTCCGGTTCCCAAGAGATTGGGACTTCGATCTACGAGAGAAGCCATCAAGGAACTTGTATTGCAGGCCGAAACCACTGCACTGGATTCCCCGTGTTGTACATTTGATACAATTAGGTTTTGTCCCATCACAGTCGATGCGGCGTTGGGAGCATTCGTAACATCCTGTCGTATGTCAGCCAAGTAATCCAGTGACAGTAATCACCACCTGAAGGATCTTCTCGAAACTCACCCTTGACTTTGGGCACGTATTTCCTCTTTCTTCGGGCCATGAGATCTGTCAGAACATCCAGAACGACTTCATCTCAAGATACCATCCAATGCTGAGGAGCTTACGACCTTGCAAAGGTGATGTCTGATGACAAACGAGGAAGCGGGGTTGCTTAGACCCGTCGAGCCCCAACAACACATCCACCCACCTGACAGGGAGGGGACCTTATCTCGCTTCCCCGCACTGTTGGCAGCTGGCCTGCGTCTTAGCACCAGGGTTTGCGGCACTGTTAGTGCATCTACGCGGCCCTTTCTCCGGAGATCGGCATGCTCTGCGTTATCTTGTACTATGCCCGAAAAGGCAATCCAAATGAGAGCCCAAAACCCAAACACAGTTTAAAGATGTGGCCAACTAGATGAACTGTTTGGATGTGCGGCTTACATCAATACCTGCGGGGTCAATTTTTCCTATCACACAGTCATGGTATGTCATGAATATCTCATTGACGCAGGGCACAAGACTCCGAGGTTCGGCTATCTCCTTTCGCAGCAACAGAACGTTCTAGCAAACGACATTAAGTGCGTCACACTATATCTTCCGTCCAAAGCAATTCCCCCTCAACTAACCATGCCAGGGCATCTCAGGCATTAAATTCTTGCTGTGAATGCAAAGTACCGACGATTGGTTGACTGTGATTGGATTGCGTACAATTTACCTAATCCTACATATGATACTAAGCTACTAGACCCGTAGCTCATTTGATTCGGACATGTTGCCAGTCATCTAAGCCACACGCGACCTAGGGTTTGAGAAGTCTCCCGTAGTCTCCCATTACTCCAACTCCGCAATAGTAGCCTCCAAAAATTGCTTCTGGAGAGTCAAAAACTCCTTGGCTGCATCAACGTCGAATTCACGGCCAGCACGCTCCCGCTCTCGGAGCTTCTTCGCCCCACCACGGAAGCGTTCTTCAAGCACATCCAAACGGTAGTGGCTCCACTGATAGTAAAGATCAGATCGAGTGCTGATGGGGCGAGAGCCTGTCAAGACAGTCTCGTCTCTGACCAGGGGACTCTTGGGCCGAAAGGCAGTGACCATGCTGATACGCTCGCGGCCACCCTTGGCCTTGAGGGCCTGGTGCTCAATGTAGCGGCCCTGCATGACAACCCCAGTGCCCTAAAGATAACGTCTTGTCAAAAGTCTGTATGTATACTTTGTTTTGAGGGACAACAACTTACCATCGCTGGTCCGCGGACTTTCATCACCTCCCCTGTGCCTGTCCGTATAGCCGTCTCGCCTCCGATCATACCAGTGCAATCGGAAAGCATTGTCACGCAGACGAAAGCATAGCTATCCAGGTGCCAGGCAAAAGCGGAAGAGTCGTCGCTATTTTCGATCGCAGTGAGTTCAGTCGTGACATCGTTGATGGAGATGTTGACGTGGCCGACCTCATATTCTATGGCTGGGACAAGGTCCACGCCGGCGACCCTCGAGACCGCGTTGAGAACTTCGGGGCTGTTCCAAGCATCGAATATGAAGGGACAAAGTCTGAAAAGACGAGTTAGTACTCGAGCATACTGACCGGACACCATTTCCCCCTAGTTACTTAGGTCCATATCCTCGGATCATGTTCTTAGCAAAGTCAGAGGTGAACTGGCAGCTTTGAAGAACGGGCTCGCTGAAGATCTCTGCTCTCATTTGCGCCACGGCTTCCGGAGTAAAAATGGAGAATGGGGAAGAAGCTGCAACCGGGGATATACCCTTCCCGCCGAGCCCGATTTCCTGCATGGTGAAGATGCGCTCTGGTTCGACGATGTTCAGGTGTTTCTTTGGATCGAAAGCGACTTTCTCAACATCTCTCACTCCGTCGATTAGAAAATCGGGTAACCGATTCGTGGGGCGCGTTGGCTCCTTGAGTTTCGGTCCCAGCACGGCTGGTGGAGCTGCAGGCATCAAGACTTCAGCGGCCATTATGATTGGATCCTGTCCTTTGAATGCAATATCGCAGAAGATAACTTGGGGTTATTCAAGAAGCTTGTTTTATAGAAGACCACCGAGTGTCTCGCAGAGTGGGAAGTGCTGATTCGAGTTTGGTTGAGAAAGAAGTTTGATAAATGAATGTGTTCGTCTGTTGATTTTATATCTGATTAAATGTCTCCTAACCGTACCAGAAGTACTAGCGCAACTCTACGTGAACAGCATTGGGCTTCCGGCAGAGTCTCACGTGGGGATAGTGTGTTGACGTTATGAGCGGGGTTGGGTTCACGCGGGGCAAACCCCGGCTGCTGAGATAGATGTCCCGGAAAGTCTAGAAGATACCCGCACTAGCTGTTTCGAGGCATTACAATGAGACATCTTGAACATGAGTGGCTGCCACTTATCGTCACGAAACTAAAAAGACGCTGTGGGTGTCATCCCACCTCGGGCCGTCATGACAGGCTTAGCTACCAGACACCCTCAAACTCCTTTATCAATGATATGTGTTGCTGTTACCGCTGACTCCTTCCCACTGCTTGTTGGTTTTGTTGGTAGTATCATCTGTGAAACCCCACTATGCACATTTTGATCTCCCCATGATTCTGAGATTCGGGAAAAGTTCACAAAGCCCCGCGATAGGCGGTTCAAGGCAGTGCTTCTCGCCCCATTTATGTAACCACTTGATGTAAGACACTGAAGATATAGATTCCCAACTAAGTAATGAAAGACGATACCAAGAATCCGAGGTGTACGATCTAGACTCTGTTCTCCCAAATTCTATCGTGTTCGGTGCCATAGTCTTGGCCATTGTAATTGACGACAGCAGGTAAAGAGCAAGAAGTGACCGCCGCCTGACTTTGCGCTCACTCAACCAACCAATTATCTGCTTTAACGTCCAGGGTTGACTCTCACAGCCCATACTAGCAGCCAGTTGAGAATAACCAAGGCGCCGAGGCCCCAGAACGGAATACCAATGGCGTTGGTCTGTAGGCCCCAACTGAGGACCAAGCCGCCGATCACCGGACCAAGCATACGAGCGCCTGCTGATGTGCTTGCAGCGATTCCATGCACTGTTCCCAAAGCAGCCGGTGGAGCAGCCTCATTCACCAACAAGATAGTGGCCGGTCCAACAAATGTTCGGGACAGCACCTGCGAGCTTAGCACAGCTGCCAAACACACCCAAAAGATATCTCCCTTGCCGGGCAAAAGTGACAGAAATGGGATAGCGGTGTAGGCCAGCAGACTGAACGGAAGGAATAGTCGGTAAGACGATGTGGCTCCAAGCTTTCCACTCACTGGCGGGAAAAGCAGGATCTGAAGAGGAAGGCCAACGATTCCAATAATGGTGTTCGCGAAACCAACTTGTTGTGACGTGAGACCAAGACCACCAGTGAATCGAAATGGTAGGTGCTTGTCGACGTTTCTCGATCTCGCGAGTGGCAAGATGATGAAAAGCATGGCGTTGTATGCCGACGTGTGGAGTGTGCAGAGGAAGTTTTGCGCAAGTGTAAGGAGAACTTGATGAGTGAAGATCGAGCGAGGGGCTTCGCTAGAAGCTTCGGTGTGTGTACGACCAGCAACCCGCCCAACGGGGCGATCTGACAATAGATCTTGGTCAAGACGGGTGTATTCCACCCCATCTTTGGTCTTCAGACAACTGGAAATATAGCGACCGATCTCCCGACCACGATCTCTGCTGTCTCGAAGGGCGATATGTGTTTCGTCCAACCCGAGGATCACTCCCATCGCAGCGAGAAACAGGAAAGACGCCGACATGAGATAGGGAAGAGCGTAAGGGTACTCCATCATCCATTGGACACCGTCGGGGCCGCCGATCCGGGAGCCGGGGCCGAAAAGATCCGGACGTGAAGTAACAGGATCTGCGAGAAAGCCGCCGAGAAGAGGGCCTACGATGACTCCCACATTGAAACACATTGGCAATAGAAGGAATGCTCTTGACCGTAACCTAAGTCAAAATCGTTAGTTGGTTCAAATCTCAACGAATTCAACCGGTTTCATACCTTTTGTCGTCTACAACTTCTGATATCATCGTCCGTAGAACGCCAACATTGCCATTCAAGGCACCAGCGAGGACTCGGAAGAAGAGCGCCGCCAGAAAAGATCTAGAAAAAGCCAAACCCAAAGACGACATGCATGTACCAAGTAAGCCCATGATGAGGACGTTCTTCCGGCCGCATCGGGGGCTATCGGCGATGTAGCCCCACCACATCCCGGTCGCGCACTGGGCAGCGGCGAAAGCGGAGGTGAGAACGCCGGCCTGAGTTGCTATGGTTGCTTCCGAGAGGGTGTGGTCAAACCATTGCAGCTGAAAAAATAAGAAAGAAGCCAAGGATCTTTCGGCCAAAGGTTCCGCCAATCGTGCGAAGACGATCATGGCAAGCTGCCCTTTGTGAGGTAAGGCGGCCCATGACACTGGCTTTTCCGGAGAAGGGGACCGGGCCCTAGGATGGGGGGAGCAGGAGCCATATCCTCGGGTCCTGGAGCGCGATCTTTCCAGCGATTTGGACATTCTTTTGAGATTGTCAAGTTGAGATCCAAACGCGACTTGTTTTGAAAGGGTCTCGTGCGCCAGAGATGATCGCGGGAGACGGGACCATCATAATAAACAACACCTCAGTCCACTTCCGATATCGACATGGCCAGCCAGCCCCGCCGGCGTTTCTCAGGGTAAATGTGAAGAACCATGCAAAATAACATTTACTAGTCAAGGACCCTGAAAGTTCAACCTCCCGCCAAGACGCGCAATTCGATCGTCTGTCGAGAACTCTGCACGCGCGCATCTAGCGCCTACAGATGTCCGACGTTTCGGCGAACCACTAACGACCGAGACAGTAGGCCTCGTATCGCCGGACTCCCACTAACGGATTACCCACTTAATGACTGGGTACCGTCGATCATGAATCCTCTCACAGTGAGAGACTCGGCGGTTCTTCAATGCTTTGCCTTGAATGCTACTTCATGACAGACCGAATTCGTACCCCTTGATCGAATTTTCTCGCCACCGAATTGTTAATCGTGAAGACTTTAGGAAGAGACGAATGTTTGACGGCTGGTGGAATACATGTGATCTGTCGGGCACGTGAAAGCCTCGAAGTTGTAAGAGCCTAGACGTCTTCTCATCTTTTCCTCGGGAATTTTCAAGGGTTCTGAGACAATTAGTTCCTTAAAGATGATGTCGGCAACCTTTGAAGTTGCACTCTCCCACGTCTGCCGTCTTTGCGAATCATGTCACTTGAGTCATTACCCGATGAGGCAGCATTCTTCCGCCCACCCACTTCGTCCGGGATGGCGCGGTGTAAAGTGCTTCTAGACCGACGGCCTAGCCTGGTGACACTATCCGGGATACAGTTTCCATCTGCCTTGGTCAGTCCACTGAGTAAATTTTGGTCAACCACGTGTAGCCAGGGATGTTCGGACCTTCGGTTTAATTATCTTATCAGATGAAAGGATCTGATATGAATGATCTGGAGGGGCACAACCACGAAGCTGAGCCAAGCTGAAAGCTGATGGTTGCATGTTAAATAGCGTCCTGTCGCATCAGCTCTCCCGCCTCAAATCCCGTTCTTCACAGACTTCAATCTTGCGTCACGGGTGCTACTCCCAACGTCCTTCATTCACGTCGCTGTGTGCGGTCGGAGCCCAAACCTCTCGTTCAGCCAACATGGCCACCACCGCTCCCCTGGACCGCGATGCTGAGACAGCACGCCCAGCCTCCCTCCCGTCCGACGACGCAAACGAAAAATCGGGTATCGCGATCAACACATTAACCGCTGACCAAAGCGATGACGAAGACACCAGAAAAACTCAGGTCCCCTGGACCTGGAAGTTTGCGTCCATAGCCTTGGTTACGGCGATTGGTTTCGGGTCCCAATGGAGTTCCGGCATCTCAGGGGCCATGAAGAGCACCATCAAAAAGGAGCTGGGTATTAGCAACACCCAGTTTTCCCTGCTTGAGGCTAGCGAAGACTTCATGGTTACGGCCCTGATGCTTCTCAGTGGAATCGTGACGGATAGGATCGGTGGTGCTGGTAGGCGTTTCCCTTGGCGCGATTGTAGACGGACATGCTAACTCTGAACAGGCGCCATGTTGTACGGCAACTTCATCTACTCAGCCGGTTCGATTCTCGTCGCAGCGGCCGCCCAAACACGATCCTACAAGTTCATGGTCGCCGGTCGAGTCGTTCGCGCCCTGGGAGACATCGCCACACAGGTCGCACAGTACAAGGTCTTCTCGTCCTGGTTTGCTCCGAGTAACGGTTTCGCTTCCACGCTTGGTTTTGAGCTGGGCATCGGCAAGATCGGTGCATTTGCCGGAAAGTCATCTGCGAACATTATCGCCAAGCGAACAGGGAACTTTGCATGGGTTTTCTGGGTGGCGGTGTTCATGAATCTCTTTACAAATGTCGTTACTGTGTTCTTCTACTGGTTCACGAAAGTGGCCCATAAGAAGTTCCAGGGCGTCCGCGATCCAGCCACTGGAGAGCAGCTCACTGAGAAGTCCAAGAAGTTTCAGTTACGCAAGGTTTTGGAACTGCCTTGGTCGTTTTGGGCTGTTATGGCCTTTTCCCTCTTTGAAACCAGTACTGCTATAGTGTTCTTGCAGAATGCCACAGAGCTGGCTGAGCAGCGATTCGGCACCAGCTCTATCACTGCTGGATGGTACAGTGCGACGCTTCAATATGCCGGTAAGCATTAACTTTCTTGGAAGTTATAGAATTGCACAAGGCTAATTAAACCAGGTTTCTTTGTCGTTCCCCTCCTCGGCGTGTTCTTGGACGTCTTCGACCAGCGCATCTCTATCCGTATGTCACCCTTCGCTGCCCGAAATGATATATTTTTGAAGGCTGACATCGGTTTATAGTGGCATTCTGTGGCGTTGGCATATTCACCTCCATGTTACTGGTATGCTTTGCCAACAACACGACAGGTACTGCGGCGAGTTTTGGTGTCTTTGCATTTGCCTACTGCTTCGGCCCGGCCACTATCATCGATAGCACACGTACTGCGGTATGGGACTCATCAGTCTTTGGCTCAGCCTATTCTTTGAAAATCACCATGAACAATGCGTACGTACCATCAGTCTCCAAATTCAACTTCCCCTCGGCGTAATATAGGTACTCACCAAGCTTTAGTATGAACATCATCGTCCGCATCGTGACCGGAGCAATCCAAGACGCGGACAACAACTCCTATGACAAGGTTACTATTGTCTATGTCATCTTGGCCGGAATTTCAGTCGTCGTATCCATCGGCTTGTTCTTGCTGGCTCTCAAGTTCACTGATCTTGGACATCTTCAGTGGTCGCGCAAGGTTCGCATTGCTCGGGGAGAAATCTTGAACGAGCAGAAGCGGAAGTTCCATGAAGAAGATGGCCACAAGAACAGAGTAATCTCCATGGCTTGTTTCGTTGCGCTGATCGCGCTGATCCTGGGCAGCTGGTGCGGGTACTTCTGGGGTGTTGCAACTGGAAACAACGACTAAAGAGGGGGGGGGGGAGACCACGTGCTCTATGTTGGCTGCCGACGGGGCGTCTTGGAAGGACAAAGAACTAGAAGAGCACCCCGCGATTACGCAACATCTATATCAAATCACATGATACTTGATGAACACTGTTGAACTCAATTTCATACGTGAAAGTGCCGAGGCCAAGGATTAGGCAAATGTGTTGCGCCTGGCTTGAGTTCCCAGGCCCCATTTGACTTCAGGATACCATATCAAGTCAAACGCACTGTTTAATTCAAGCGGCTTCCTCTTTGGATCCTTCGCCAAGAGCGTCTTTGATGTTCACAAGTAGATAACTCACAGCAACCCGCGCGTCGTCTCATAGATTTTCATTGGCAATAGTCATGATGTCTATACTGTCTGTTGCCAAGACTACCTACAGTGCCTACTTATGTTTATTGATACTGGTCACCATTTGCGATGCGTGCCCTCATCAACGTTATGTGACTTGAAGCCTTTCTTTAGTCGCTCTCACGATGGTCTCACTGGTACCCGGCTTGTTTCATTGCTAGTGTCAAATAAGCACTAAACTGCGACGAAGTAATTGTATATGAAATGGTCCACTGGCTCTTGAGTACGTGACCAAAGGCTTAATCTCTCTCAAAGAGCGTTATTAGCCATCACACCGACTCTAGAGATAACAGGGCAGAAGTTAAAAAAAGAAAAAGAAAAAAAAAAAAANAAAAAAAAAAAAAAGGGAAAAAAAATAAAAGGCCTAATTGAATTTACTGAGCCTGGTCAGTCGTATTGGTTGACGAATGCAGCTGTCCCGAAAGTAGAGAAAACTTGCGAATACCCTCGCGGCTCACGACAGTCCCAAGAGGCTGAGCATGAATGACGCGGCCTTCACAACCTAATCATTTCCAAATCATCGGAACCATGTGATGACATTGAACTCTGATAAGACAACATCGTGAGAAGTTTCTCGACCATGTGGTAAATACCAAAACCTGCGAGCCCGACAAAGCTTAACCGGGCAAAGCCACGCAATACGCCGTGCCATTATATGGCTGGTGCGCTCAAATCACCTGCCCGCTACATGGAGGCCGCGCGATCCAGCGGGCGGGGTGAAGGTGGAAAGCACGAAACTTGCGCAAGATTCGAGACAGCAAAGGGGGATACTGCCCGTTTTATTCTCTCGTATCGCTAGGGTGAATGGATAAGCGACTCGGTAGTGCGACAGCTCACCACCAACTCCACCGGCAACCATCGTTCGTCGCATGTCCAAAAAAGGGTCAGTCGAAACTGTTCCCGTCTCAGACGATTCCTTGATGGAACACCACTTCACACGATCAGACGGGCCTGCCGATCATGCTCTGGCAGCCCTGCATCCACACAAAGTACCCGGCTCAACATTCCGATTTCAGATTTATTAGTTTGCGTGCTCCCGTAGTCTTGGCCTGAAGGTGCCAATCCATCTTGTTTGTTCATTCTACTCTTGGCAGGCCCAAAGCTGCAACTCCACTTTCTTCTGTCAAAATAACTCTATTTTCAACCGTATTCAATCATTAAATCAAAACAACCCAATATGCTAGTGTCTACTTTCGCCGCAAGCCTGTTGGCCCTCTCTGGCCTCGCCATGGCTGTCCCCGCCCCTACTCTCAACGACGCCGCTCTGGAGATTCGCGCCAACAAGGACGTCAACCCTGCCGCTGTCAAGGACACCACTTGCACCGACAAGGCTGCGTAAGTACTCCTTCTCCAACAACCTGAGCAGGGACTTGTCAGACTAACGCGAGATTGCAGCAAAATCGATACCCACGACATGAACGTTGCTACTCTCGCCATCTGCGGTGGCATCCAGGGTTCGATCCAAAAATGCGGCGGTGCGCCGAAGAGCACAACCGGCGTGTCCGGCACGGCCAAGTTCACCTTGAACCCGACCAGCTCTGGCGCTACCCTCAATGTTTCTAAGGGCCGTTGGGAAGGTTGCATTCGCGCGGCCCGCGCCACTTGCCCGACTGGCAGCTTCAAGTCAACCTGTGTTGGTGGCGCAAGCACAGGCGATATTGCATTCACTCTCACCAACCCTTAAATGACAAATGGACAATTTTCGTTGTAAATACTTTTAGCAATCAAAGAAATTTGACTCTTTGGCTTGTACGACTTTGGGCGACTCGCGATTTCGTCTGGTCTCGGCGTCAACGGTTCGTCTCATGTGCAGTGTCAATGTTACCGAGGAGAAACTGCTGTGCTTGCTTTATCTGAGGATGTTGAACCATTTGTATGGATCATACTAAGTCGCCTCAATTGTGGAAGATGATCATCATTCGTCACGCCGTTGAAGCCAACATTTCAACACAGTTAAGAACTTGCGTCGTCTCTTTTGAGACAGGCCGTATGTGCAGACTCTGCATTGCATTATATATTTAAGCGCATGAAAGCCGGGCAACTGGGCGGTGCAGGTCTCGGTGTGCGGTCGTACTTGGCGGTGGCTGAGTGGGGGGAAGGAGCACAAGCTAGTCGCCCGAGTGGCCGTCGGGGCCCCATGATGACTTTTGCACTTTGAAGTAGCCTATCCTAATTGAAGCCCTCGTGACACAATTTCCATGAATCCTTCGAGTTCCAAAAAGTCTTAAAGCGCCGCTAACCCAACCCTTGCCCATGTCTTGGAATTTTCTGTGAGCCTGAACGGGGCAGTGATCGTAGGGCTTAGACGACTTCTGGAATCCTTCGGGAACCAACTGCCAGCGAGTCAGCCCTGCCTCCTCCAACTACTTCCTGGGCATATATGTCTTCATTGATTGCCACCAAAACACTGCAAAAACTTGTATGCGCATTACTCTGTTCGGATTCGGGCCTATTACGTCCGATTTTGCGTATCTAAGTCACTGTTTGCTCCCAGCTTTGTTTCCAAGTCTACGACAAATTTGCGGCACCGACGCCTGCAACTCCACGCCAAGATGCCCGCCATTTGGTCGGCGAAGATCAACTCTGCAGCTGATCTTCTAAAATTGCGACAGTCATCCTTTTCTATTAAGCGCGGCTTCAACGATACGGGAAGTCCAAGCTCCGGCCCACCCGCTGCGTTCCCTGCGATCATCTTCGGCTGCGTTGCGGTTTCCATGGCAGTCGTCTTTGCGACTTGCATATTTTGCGCGAGGAAACGAATGAAGAAGAGGCAGACCGAGTACATGAAGATGTATATGAGGATAGCCACCTCCAACGAAGGTCCAGCGCAGAACAACAAGCTTAGGAAGACTGGTATGGGCCAAGGAACATTTCCGGGTCCTCAATACGGCACGTCAGGGGGAGGATACAACTATACCGCTGGCTACAACGGCAGCAACTCTTCCGCTTACGACGGACCGCCTCCGGCCTACTCGAGCCATCAGTCAGGGGATTCAAGCATGGGTTCCAGTGGTGGCAGTGGGGGCGGTGGCATTTCCTTAAACACAGGTTCAACTTGAATTTAAGGGCATCGGATTTACGGCATCAAAAGCGTTCTTCTTTTTGGACTCTTAGCATGGAGCGGGTCGTTAATTGTGGCGATTTATGTAACCATCTTGATACCCAAGGAATAGTCATTTTCACCTTTTCTTTGTACAACACGCATACATCAAGCAACTCAAAACAGAGACATGTCTAGACTAGACTTGCACATTGCATAATATTGCTTGGTTATTAGTATCTATGAATGTGCGTGTAGTCGTTTTTGACCAAGTGCTATCACAGCTTGGCACGAACCTCGCTTGCTTTTCCTTGCTCCAAAGTCTCCCAGGCCTCGGCATTCAGCCTCCTCCACATGTCTTTGCGTCGCTCATGGCCAGCCATAAATCGTTCATACCAGAACTTATTGAATGGCGGAAGCTCTCTTCCCCGGCCGTTCGAAGGACCAGCCAATTTTCTGACTGTCTCAAAGTACTCTTCAAAATCAGGGAATACCAGAGCAAACTTGGCTCCGTCCCCACGCTTTGCCAGGCGATCGTCTTCCCATCGTTTCTGCTCTTCGACTGGTGGCAATTTTGCTCGTCCAGCGAGTATTCTAGCCGCCAACACGGCTTGCCACTCGAAGATTTTGAACGTCAGACCAGCATTGACAGCCCCAACAAAGAGCAAAGTCGGGTCTGGCCGATAGACGACATGCAGGTACAAGTCCGGCACTCGGTTATTCTTTGCCTTTGGCGCTGGTCTATTGCTGCTGAACGAATCGAAGAAAGGCAAGGTCCAGGTGTAGCCAGTTCCAAAAATGATGTTGTCAACATTATCGACGGAAGTTCCGTCGACAAAATGTACGGTGCGCGTTCTGGGATCGATATGAGACACGGAGGGGACCTTTGTGATCTTCGGATGATTGAAGGCTTCCCCACCGAAGTACCCGTTGAAGTTGTGGCCAACAGTCACAGCGTACACCGGAGCTTGAGCAGTCGAGGTCAGGTCGAAGGCGATATCTGCTGCAGAAACAGAAGCGCCTACAACGACAACTCTCTGCGGACAATAGTTAGTTCCCACTTCTCATAGTCATCAAATGGTCTGACGCATCTCACCTTGTTCTTATAAGCATCACGGCCACGGAAGTGCTTGCTGTGAATGATACTTCCAGGGGTGCTTTTTGCAAAGTCCCCGAGGCCCGGGATCAATGGGATGTAGGGCACACTGTAATGCCCTGATGCCACAATGACAGCATCAAACCTCTCTTCCCACCAGTAATCTGTCTTCTCGCCGCTTTTGCGTAGAATCAGCCTCCACTCTCCGCTCTTTTCATCCTTCTCAGCTTTCTCGACAGTGGTGTTGTACTCCACGAAGTCTTGATAGCCTCTTCTCTCGACAAGAGATCGGACATAATCTTGCACAAGCGACCAGTGCCTGAAGGGCGTGTCGGCGCCGTGCACAGAAACAGACCACTCTGACTGCTGTTGTGGGAACGGCTCTTGGGTGAACTGCATCGGCAAGAAGTCGACGTTGGTTTCGAGATACGGATAAACTGTAGACTCAGCATACCGAGGATTCGGAAGCTTTGGGGTCTGAGCTGGTAGTCTGGAAGGAATCGAAGGGTAGGCAGGGTCTGCTTTGCGTCTGCCGAGAATATCGAGTTCATCGGGCTGTAGAATTGGCGGTGACTTCGTTTCCCCGAGCCTATAAATCAATTAATCCGCTGCTTCGTTGGCGAATATGTTCGTTGGGCTCACCAGCATCCGCCCGGCCCTTCTCGCCGCTCGAAGACTCTGATCACATCAAATGCTTTCTCCTGCGCAAGAGCATCAATTGTGATGGCACCTGCAGGGCCAGCTCCGATGACAGCGACGCGCTTTGCAGCTCCCATTTTGAGTCCCCTAGGCTGGCGAAATCCGAACACTTCGAGAATCTCAAGTTAGGGTTGGCGACAGGATCGGCTGGGTCAAGGTGTATATCGCGTATAAAAGTACTAGCTTTCCCGGTGTTTGAGCCTTCAACAAGCCACTTCATCAAGGATGCACTGGTCCCCGATTGATCTCATTTGAAATCCCGGTGACACGGACCTGGGTTCGGACGAGGAGGTTTTCAATGTTCAAGTAAATTAACTCTTGAGTTTCAAATCCCGATATCACCAGATAAGAGACCGGCGTTCGTCTTGGCGCGATGATGAAAGATGGCGTGCTCGGTAGGATTGTCACTCACATCCGGAGAAATGTGGGGAATCTTCAACGAAGTGGTAGTATCTAGCCCGATACCCCATGTTCGACCGGCATGGCACACTGCTGAATGGACGTTGGGGGCTATTGCGTGATGATCCCAAGAGCGCGGCACCGCGACTAAGAGGGTCGACGACGCAAGGTTCTGGAATGTTTTCCAGGCGGAGTTGATCGATGTGTCTCCCAATTGGTCGCGAGTGGATATGACACCTGCCGAGAGATGATGCAAGAGACTGAGCTTCTGGAGGGCAAATGCCGAACAGAGACGAGACCAGCCTCCCGTCGTTCGGTCCAATAGTTAATCTCGCCCCATCCTATCGAACCTGACGTCGACATTGTAAGTTGGAAGCCCAACTCGCAAGTCTCGAAAGCTCACCTTGCACCATGGCAGAAGCAAAGCAGGAGCTGCGACTGGCCGATTCGCCCGGCTTTGCAACACCGATATCCGAACAGGATTGGACGAACCATGAGGAAACTCAAGCTAGAAGAAAGTGCGCTTCGCCGTGTAAGGAGGCCAAGAACTCAATCTAAGATCGCTAACTCGCTCGCAGGATTGACGGCTCAGTGCTGCCGTTGCTATATCTGGGGCTGCTTGTTTTTCAGCTGGATCGCATGAACCTGGCGAGTGCTCTTACTGGTGGTTTCGCGAAGGATATCGGAGTGGATCAGGATACAATCAATCTCGGAAACCAGTTGATGTTCCTGGGCATCGTGATTTTGGAAATCCCGTCCAATATGCTACTTCAGAAAGTGAGTAACGGGTGCTTATTCGATGGACAACACGACTGACATTGATACCATTCAGGTTGGCCCTCGCAAGTACATATCAGCTCAAGTCATGCTATTTGGCTTGGTTGCGACCCTTCAAATATTTCTCCGCGATAGAAAGGGCTTTCTGGCATCGCGAATGTTTCTTGGTTTGGCAGAGGCAGGCTATATACCGGGTGCCTGCTACACACTGTCGACATGGTATAAGAAGAAAGAGCTCGCGAAGCGGGTCGCTGTTTTCTTCTTTGGTATGTTCAGTGGCAACGCTTTGAGTCCTCTGTTGGCGTCTGGCATTCTCAAGCTTGAGGGCGCACGGGGTTTGAGAGGCTGGCAGTGGCTCTTTCTCAGTAAGTTCAACCAGATTCAGACGTTTAGCTTGAAGAGGTTTATCTTTCCCGGGTTGCTACTGCGACTGAACTAACATGACTTCAGTTGAGGGAGTGTTCACTATCTTCGTGGGACTCTCCCTATTGTTCCTTCTCCCTGGGTCTCCCGATACGCCCGATCCCCTTTTGAGCCGAGGCCTCGTCCGCTTCAAAGGCTCGGAAAGGGCCATCATTCAACGCCGACTCGAATTCGATGACAAGGAGAAGCGACATGGCGCGCAAGGAATGCACATCCCGCCAAAACTTGTGCTCAAGACGATCTTGCATTGGCAACGATGGCCCCATTTTCTGAGCAGCTTCGCCGTCTTCTCCACCTGGAGTCCTTTGACAACTTACACGCCAACTATCATCATGCAAGTAGCACGGCATGTGAGGCGAAGGCGCTGTGCTAATCAGGAGTCTTGCAGGAACCTCGGTTTCAACCGCATCCAAGCCAATGCTCTTGCCGCCGTTGGGGCCTCCCTTGCCCTTGTGGTCGTTTTCATAGTCGCCTGGATCAGTGACAAGACAAACAAGCGCGGTCTATCGGTCATCGGTGCACACAGTTGTTATCTCATCGTCCTGATAGTGGCAAGGACTGCACATCCTCATGTCGGCAAGTGGTCCCGTTGGGGTCTTTGGACGGCCGTGAATAGCTTTGCTGTGGGATACCACCCAGCCAACAACTCATGGGTACAACTCAATTGTCGCGAGCCGGGAGAGAGGAGCATCAGTATTGCGTAAGTGGAGTTTTTCTATGATACAAGTTCATCATGCTGATTTATGGCTTAGAATGTGGGTGATGCTTTCCATCAGTGGCCTGATGGTCGGAACGCAGTATTACCGAGGCAACGATACCCCATTGTGAGTTTAGAGAACATTTTCGGAAGCATATGACTAACGTTTTCGTAGTTACCAGACCGGTCTGAGGACTCAGATAATTATGGTCTCGATTGGGATGGGGTTCGCCATACTGCAGGTCATTATCTACACCTGGCATAATAAGCGTGTTGCCGAAGGAAAGTACAAGCCGGCCAAGGGAGAGGTGCCTCGAATTTATGTCCCCTGATGTATAGAAGCAAGGGTTATGGGTCGGGATTTCCTGCTGGACGCAGTCCTTTCAGGGTCAATACCTGGTATCATTGGTAACCTAACTTCTACTGATAAGTGTCCATAGCAAACGAGTACATTACATATAGTCTTGCCCTCGGCATACTCTGGCAACACATCGTGTATTGCTTTCCCGCAACCACTGCCCTCGCTTGATCGCGTACCGGTCAATTAGCTCTCATATCGTACACGTTTGCCCAAATCCATATCCTACGCGTCTGATGGCGTCCACTACTGCATGTTCAAGTCCTCACATCTCTCATCAACACCACGTCGAGCGCCCACTTTTAGAAGCTTCTGCCATGGCTAGCCGCTATATGAATAATTTATGGCAGTCAGTCAGAAGTGGTCCCATCAACAATATCTGATGTGGTTGACATACCTAGTAGTGTTTGGGTTATCCTATTGGTCCGGAGACGCAGCACTCAGGCCACTCTGGGAGGGTGTAGCAAGGCATCAGATACTGCCTAACAACAGAGACCATATACCGCTGCTCATTTCTGAAGCATAATGCGTTCTGTGTACATTAGCCACGACGACGGGAAACTAGGCCAGGACAAGTTCATCAAATGAGAGTTTCGCTCGAAGCGTTTCTCTTTGTCCACACCCAGGATAGTGAAGCTGTTCACAACCTGAACCTACAACTGGCACACGCAACTTACAAACGCATCCAGCCTAGCGGTTCGTTCATTTTACAGCTAGCACGTTACGGCGGCTCAAACATATCATTTTATACATTCATCCGTTGTCAAAGCCTTAGCACTCCATCTCTAATCTTGAATTGAACGGTGGAGTTAAATCTATCTCTCTCGGAGCAGTAAATGTATCCGAGCCTCAAGACTTTTGCCCTGAAAGGCACCAAGTAATCCAAATCAAGCCCAGCCAGCATCAGCTGGGTTTGACAGCCTTAGTATCCGGTGAGCAACGCCAGTCATAACTCACCAAGCCGCTCCTCAGCTGTTGACCCGAATACGTTTCTAAAGATTATGGGTGACAACTACAATGATTTTGATACCTGGTGGCCGAGGTGAGGATGGATTCTTTGCAGTGTCATGATATTAGGAAGCTTGGGTTGTGAACTCTCATGCCTTGATATTGCAGCTGCATTTGCAGGATTTCTTCTTCGCCGCAGGTTGTATAATGCATCTCAAATGGCCGTATCTGGCCCATTGTATATCCATCTTTATCATCTTAATTCTGTTCCTTTCTGGTGTTTACCTTGCTACCCAGCTCATTCCTTGGATTCTCACCTTCAACGACATAAAGGCAACTACACTATCCTTTCAGTTACGCTAGATTAACGCAAAGGAACAACCAGCAAGGGAGCAATGCAAAGAGCTTAGTGAAGACTACACCTTGAGATAGGTACAGCGATTAATACTTCTGGGCAAGCTATGCCAGTTCGAACCAATTTAAAGGCTGAACATAACCTCCGCCCTTGTCCATGTTATCATTTCCAATACGTGAATAGCAACAGAGATTCTGAATAGGTACGACAATGCCAAAAGGCTGAGTTGACCCTCTGCGTAATCATGTTTCCTTGGTATGAATTCAGGTCTTGTTGGTAGCTTCACCTTCCTGCAACACTGTAAAGATATTGTCTTAGAAGAGAATTTTCTGCTGAAACCATTTATCTTTCATACGACATTAATCATCATCCTCTTTTATATCAAATTCTTTATAGAAGGAGAGGTTCACCTCCTAGCAGACATTCAGCCGGCACGCTCCTTTAAAAGCCTTAGTGCGCGGCGTGATTTGGAAGCGCAGCCGCAAAAGAAGAGCAGACGAATTCGTCCCTGTTTGTTTTGTCTTTCTGGACAGTTCGCTATTCGCCTCTTGTTCCTATTCTAAAAGCGCTTTAGACATAACCCATATCAAAGCAATTTGCCATCTTTGTAGTAGTTACGGAATCATGTGATCGAATACACCCCCCACAGAGCCCACTGATACCAGAGACTGCACGCATGTTGCAGAACATGGAGAGGACTTAGCGACTCCTCTGACCTGTTGACTCTGTGATCCGCACGCATACCAACACCAGTTTCCAATGCGATCAACATTGCAACGAGACTTTCGAACACCCATTGCGCGGCCAAAAGGACTTGAACTACTTCCCTTGACTCCCTTAAATAGATATGGTGAGGACATCATACTGAATGGCCCTGCCTCTAAGAGTCCTATTTAAGAAACTAACTAACCTGAACAGCTTCTCCAAAACTACTAATCAAGAGTGTTTAGACTCACTGAGGCTGTTCCATGCTCTCATCCATCTTCTCAATGCAGTCTATCGCCTCATGCTCAACAATTCAAGCGATATCATCAGGCAATTTGCGTCGTCCAGCATACTCTTATTCGCCCAACAACAACCACCCGACAGAAGACAACGATGGCCAGCGATTGCAACGCACATTCTTAGAGCTGATCATACGCTCAACACTACTATACTTTAGTATACAGAGCAAGAGAAGCCAACGGCATTTCCCAGCATCGCACTTCCTCATTTCATACGCACACGTCATGCATTGCCTTGCCGGCTGTCCCATCCTTCAAACCCGTATACACGGGCTAATATATACTCCGGAGCAATGTCTGCCATGAAAACCACAACCGCCGTGACCACAAGTGGGAGACAGACGGACGGTCACCACCAACCAACCTCCAACATAGCCTTCATTCGGGATGGCACTTCCTCAGGCAGCATATAAACCTGGCAACCCTCACTACACAAGCCATTCTCCTTACCAAATTCACACCCATCAAAACCCATCCACAAACTACCCATATAACCCCCCCTTCCCAAACCCCCCTATCCACCATTCCTCATTTATCCCATTTATCCCGTCTACCCCATTTATCCCACAGCAATACTATCCCAACACCACCACCCAGGGCCATTTCCAACCATCACATCTCACCTCCCGCCTCACGAACACTAGCAGGGCACCCACCACCTCCCCACAGCCCAGGTCCAAAAACACCGGTCCTTGGAAGAGAGAAGAAATCCCACACCCCAATGACTTGTTGTCCCACTGTGCTGGTAAACTCGCAGGCCTTTCTTTATATGAAGAGCGGGCCCCCGGACCCCTACGACTTCATCCCTCGTCCGTCACCTTATCCTCCGAGGAAACAGATCAGGTGGGGCTGGTAATATTAAAAACAAACGGCATCGTGATCCTTCTAGAAGAATCGCTCAAACTTTAGTTTAATAACCACGCCGCTGGCGAAATTTGGGTCTGCATGCCGAGATTGTCATGTCTCACAGTCACTAAGTGGCAAGTAGGAAGATGCATAATTATTGATCATCAGGATTCTGAGTCCTATTCATGGTATCTACCTCCGCCCGCCACTCCAAAATCTGTATACAGAATTATCCTACATATACAGTGTACACTTTTGGTCTTTTTGGACGCCTCCAATGCTCAAAGAGCCTACCACGACGCCGGTGTCCAACATAAGGGCTCAAAGGCCTCCATTGGTATGCCTCCAACTCCCCATCCATTCCAATCCATGCCAGTAGCCCATCGGCCGTAATCCAAAATCTTCAAAGTAGGGTACATAGGGAACAGGAATGCCAGCCGACAGACGCGCGAGCGAATGTGAGCATTCCAACAGTGTGATGGAGAGACCATCTCAACCACCTCCAATAATACAGGATGACCACGCTCATCCTAACTGACATCCAAGCAATGCAATAAGCCAGCGCGCATGTATTCATCCATGGCGAATGAAGCCCCGAGCCGAGCCAAGAAACGGGGCACGAAGCAAATTAACGCCGAGTGTAGCGCGATGATGAGGATAGAAGTCGTTCATGACATAAAGCCTCTGACGTGAGGTGAGAAAAATGGGGTATCAAAAGTGAAGCAGAATAAGGGGATATGTATGTCGTGGGAAATGTGGAAATGATGTTGTCCGTGGGAGATTGCCAGAAGACATGGGCGTCTTGGACCGAGACCTCACATCGGCGTGGGTGTCGGCGCACCTCGGTCTCCTCGGCTCATCCAGCCAAAGAGGTCGCCGCTACGCTGGCTGGTGGCTGTGTTGGTTTGTGGTTCGGCGGGAGCGCGCATCGCCATCTCCCGAGGCTCCAATAGCAGACTCTTGCGGTAGTAGCTGACCTGGACATTCTGGCCCTGGTCGCTCTCCCGTACGCGGACGATCTGCGCCGTCATCCAATCTTGCATCTCAGGAAGCTCGTTGAGTCGGTAGGGGATCTGGAATCGCTGGAGCTCGCCGATGATCTTGGCCGTACGGGTGTGCTTGTCGAAGTTGACAACGGTAAGGCCGCCGCCGTGTTCCTCGCAGCCGTCACCTCCAAGTGTGGGAAGCTGCTTGGTTGCGGGGTTGCCGATATCGACGAAGGTGAGATCGGTCAGGTACATGCCGAGGAATGGCAGGCAGGGCGGGACATGGTCGTGGAGACGCGTTCGCAGGACCTTGTTGTTCTGCGATGGCTCGACAATTGCCTGCAGGTGGCGAAGCATATCGCGCCGCTTGGGAGAGACGGCGTCCCATGTCTTGCGGAGACGGCTGATGGTGCTGCTGTTGAGACTGCAGATGATGGCCATGAGTCCGTCGTAGTTGTGAAGCTCCAGGCACTGGTGAGCAACCTTGATCCATTGCTTGATAACAGCGGCGCGCTTCTTGACTTCGGGGTACTGGAGGATGGTCTCAGCGACGAGGTTGGAAAGATCAGTTGAAAGAGCCGACATGGCCTTGACGTTGGGAGCATGAACGCCGCCCTTCTTCATCCACTGCGATGCGAGAAGCTCCTCAGGCATGATCGAGCAGAAAATGTTCATCTGCTTGATGGTGAGTTGACGGGCAATCTCGAGGGGATCGAAGTCGAGGATAGTAGGGTTGCTGCCACCATTCTTCCACGACATGAGGTGGGAGAACTGGCTCTTGGTGATGGCCAAGGGCGGGTGGGGAGTGTCCGCCGGGACGTATTGCGCAATTGAA